CACTTTCTATTGTATTGGTATATGCATGGCAACTCTATGTCTTATTATTACTCTGAGATGTATTGAGTGAATTACCGGAAAATATTGGGGAACAAGCTAAACCGCGCAAAGTTTGGCATTACAAATCTGCTGAGTGGGAGGATTTTCAAGACAATTTCCGAAATTTTCCCTGGCTATATGTTCGTTTTCAGTTGTAATAATCCATCAACTTGTGCTTCTGAAGTCACGGAAGTTATTCTATCATACATGAATGCATATATTACTTTTTCATTGAAACACACTTCTAACGGCAAACCTTGGTTCAACAGCTATTGCGCTTATATTTAAAAAGCCTTTGACCGTGTGTGGCATAAGGGTTTACTGGCCAAACTTCGATCCTATGGCTTGTGTATGTCTCTCCAGCTTCCTGAAAAAACTCTTCCTGTAAGTGACCGTCGATGGATATATCTCGAATACTTGGGAACACCATCAACGCTGGTGTTCCCAAGGAATCCATATTGTCTCCAACCCTCTTTTTATTGTATATCAACAATTTATTGGAAAAAAACAAGAATCCAATATATTGCACTTGTCTCGTCGGATGCACGTCTTCACCGGCAGCAGGAGGTTTTATATCTTGAAGGGGTAAAAGTCACCAGGTTCAATTCAATACCACAAAAACTCGTTTTCTCTAAAAAGATAAGCTCTGATAAGTTTGTTAGGGGGTTGAAATAGACACCAATATGTCTCGGCACAATAATATCACTGGATTTGCAAATGCTGCTTCTCAGAAGCTTCTATGGAGCTCCATCCCTGAACATACCCTGAAGCTGCTGGATTCCATCCATCTGATTGGATACATGAACATCACTCACAACCTTGATAGTCTGGAACATCAAAAAGGGTTGTAGATTTGTCTCTCTTTTATAGATACTTTCACGGGCACAGTTGATTCCACCAAGGGCGGTACAATTCAAAAATAAGCGACGGACTATGGCTGCTCACCGTTTTGATGTTCAACTCAGTACTCTTCGAACTTCACTATTTAAGAACTCTTTCATGTGGAGAACTGCGTCTATGTGGAATAAATTTTCTGAGAACGTTTTTCCAAATGAATTTATCCTCCAGCGATTCAAATCCAACGTGAATCTTACGACCTGATATTGAAATAATCACCATCAGAGATAAAGTAGTAGACAATAAAACTCATCATATGAATATGGTAGATGAAAATAAATTTGAAGATTAATTGAGGAAGGCGTCTTCCAACGCAGCACAGATACTGCTGGGAAGTTGATTATTCCTCTTTTGGTTGTTGCCTTACTCATTTCTCTGTTAGCAAGGAGTAAGAGTATTCGACCACCTATCAGTATGGATACCTACATTCACGTAACTCGGGCGGGCGAAATTTACATTAGTTGGCCCACTCGTTGGTCCTGGAAAGGGAGTTCATTTGTCAGAAGTTTCGGGTTTGAGAGAAGTTAAACAAGAAGTTGTGGAGTTTGTAGATCAACTCGAAAGACCTGAGCACTACAAGAGTCTTGGTGCGAAAGTTCCTAAAGGTGCTCTTCTGTTAGGACCTCCTGGTTGTGGAAAAACCCTTCCAGCTAAGGCTGTGGCAACCGAGACAAATGTACCTCACCTTTTAATCAACGGGTCCGAATTTAATCTGTTTTAAAATTGTAATTATTGGGGGTTTGGGAGCAACAAGAGTGAGATATTTATTTATAGAGGCGAGACAAAGGGCTCCCTGTATTATATATATCACAAAATTGACGCAGTAGATCGAAAGCGAAGTGGAAAACTGAGCTCTGGAGGAGCAAGTGGCGAAAGTGAGCAAACTTTGAACCACAAAAATTTTGTTCAACTTTGATATCTTGCCCCGTTTATGGGTTAAAAGGGAGGGAGTGGAGACTATTTACGTCCACACTGTAAATTTTATTTGACACAGAAAGTTGGACTGAAAAGACCGTTCATTTTGTTTTCTTGCAGTGCCTACTAGGTTCTTTTACGGTCGGAAAATGAATTCCAATTTCATATTTGTAAAATAGGTTTGGCATATTGATAACATCTTCTTCAACATACATTCCGCCGCGATATGTCAAGAGCAGACGAAACGTAATCTTTTAGATTTTTTCAACGAATTGTCGAAGGGGAAGTTACCGGGTCCGTTTTTATGAGTCACTTCAAACTGTAATATCTCAGTGAGCGCCATTAAAATCAGTACACTTTTGTCAACGTAACACATGTCGTTCAATTCCGTCGGAATGAAAATTGGGTACTCGGGACTCGATGAAGTCGGCGAAGACCGTTTTTGCCTGATCCTGATTGGGAAAGGTTCTACCGGTGAGAAAGTTATCGGAGTGCTTGGAAAGATGGTAGTCGGTTGGCGAGAGTTCTGGTGGTTGAGGCAGACCTTTGCCGTTCAATTCGTTTAATTTTCGGACGTTGATTTGTTAAACGTGCGGATAAGAGTTATCGTGGAGCAGTTCAGACACCTTCTGTTGACCAGTACCGGTTGCTGCTAACGTCATTTTTGGTACATTTCGTCGATTTCTCATGATAAAACTCTGCACACCAGCCGCTGACCATCATACAGTAACTATGGCTTTTTGGTGGGTTTTCACCTCTGGGAAGTGCCTAGGTGTCTAACTACTGTCTTCAACGGAGGAGTAGGTTTCCTTGGGTTCCCTTGGCAGTGGTGGCGCTAGATAGAGGAAAGATTCCTGATTAAGGCCTACGGGCTAGGGCATCAAAGGCAATGGCGTTATTCATGACCTCAACGGCTCCTATTGTCGTCGAAGATCCACTTTTCATCAAACGTGACGATCCCATCAAAAAAGGGATAGCTTTGGTTGCGCAAACGTGAAGATCCCATCAAAAACAGGATAGCTTTGGTTGCGCAAAAGCACAGTTCAGACTTCAAAACGTGTCAATTACTGTCGATTGTTAAAATCTTGGGGCTATTTGACGTGTCCAATACGTTTCCAACCATCAAAAACCGCCATCTCACAAGTTTGTGATATCCTGGACCACTAGAGTCCTGGATTCCTGTAGGTCGACCACTTCGGGGAACAGATTCGAGGCTTACATCTCCGGAACAAAATTTTAGGCTGTTTTGGCGGTGATTTGGTTCAATTTGAATTTGTAGCAAATTGGCCAAGAATCGTTCGATATCATACAAAGATGAAAAGATGCAAAAAATTGAAATTTGGATGAAATAAACAACATCAATGAATAGGGGACAACATTTTCCATCGATCAGTGTACATCACGATACAGTAGAATACATATTTATTGAGAAATAGGGCTACAAAAACACATAACATTAAAACGGACCATACTTTTGAATTAACCCAATAGCTTTATCGAAAGGAGCTGGAAAATGCGTAGTTCTGATGAATTGGTCACCTGTTTTTTGTCATGAACATGAACACGATGAACCCCTCACTTTCTGACTTCAGCCCACTTGACCTGAAGCGGAAAAGGTCAAGGTGCTTCAAAAAGCCAACATCTCAAATGTTATTGGAGAAAACCCCGTCCATTGGGTTATTCCTGTGTCGCAGCAGGTGTGAATTGATCTCTGCGGCTTTGATATAGGCATTCCGCTCAACAAGTTCAAACTCGGTGACGTAGATGAACGTTCAAGTAAACTCATATTGAAATCAGTGGATTTCTGAAGGATCGACTCTAGAATTGATGTAGTGATTTATTTTTCAGGTTTGTCGACAAATTTGAGCATATTCTTGGAATCACCTCCAACGCTTCCCTCATTGAACACTCCAATGGCAAGCCAGTGCTTCCCTTCATTTCTTCTGAAGAATACTGTGCATCTGAATCTAATGGGAAAATAGCTTTTTTTGTATGCTTATCTGGGGAGAATGTGAACACTGCCGAAGTGATTTTCGTTTATCTTCCTTGTAAGTAGGATCGTTAAATTTAATAAATTTTTTTTATTTTGTCACTTATTGCAATATGAACTTTGATTCTTTGCCTAACTGCATTATTTTTAAGGAAAAATTCCACAAATCTCAAATTGTTGTTTCCATCGAAAGTGACACGAAAATAACAACTCGACAGATTGAACAATTATGAAATAAAGCACTGTAGATTGAGTCAATTCTCTTATAACACTCTCATTCTCATGAAACAGCTTGATGAAAATCTTGTTTTTTGAAAGTTTCCAACTACTCTTCCAGATTGCTTTTTTGATTCACCAAAACAGTTTCCCGGTTATTCATGATATGGGCGAGGTACGCTGCTCTCAAAAATATTATTACAATATTATTAAATAAATTATAGTTATACAGTCTGACTTTTGACAAACCAAATTGTTCAAATTATATCCTGCTCATTCTTTATTTTTCACAATCATTGTAAAAAGTAATATTGTTTCCATAACAGTAATTGGTTACCATGACAATTTTTGTAGTAATTTTGTAGTAAATTTGAAACTCATACATTTTTGTTGAACACTAAAAAAAGTATTAAAATATAAGATGAGGTATAGTCTATCTATTCCCAATTGGAATGGCAATAAAAAAATGAGTCATAAACATTTCTTGCCTGTGGCCCCTAGTCGCCCAGATAATTAGTAAACGTGCTATCAAATGTAGTTGAGGAGTAAAGGCTCGGCTAACTGGACTGGCTGAATACTAATTTTTGTCGTTTCACAATATTTCTTTATCAGTGCCGTGTGATCGTGGAGTTAGGTGAGGTAGTGAATGGTTTTGCAAACCGATTTTTGAATACTTTTTCTAGAGATAAATTACCCTAACACCAAACTGATATTTTTGCACTCGACGCGCGTTTCGTTAACAAGGTTAGCATCTTTAGGAGAAGCAAATTGATACTGAATCTGACTACAAGGGTTAGCTGTTTATATACCTAAATATACAAATTAATTTGTCAACAAGAGATATGGTTTAAAACAAATGATAACATTACGTGTGAGGAATCTGTGTCAATCGACAGGAGTCCGGAATTTGAAAATAAGGACATACATGTTTAAGTTCAGCGAGTAATTTTACATATTCATGAATGCTTGAAGAAGGAAAACTGTCATACTTCTCATAATGCTATTGTGAATAGAATATGCGAGTTAACGAAACTATCTCTTTCGACAGCTCTTCGAGTCATTGAAATAGGGGATGTCATTGACCATGCAATGAAACAAAAACAAAGGAATAGAAAATTCGCAAACGTTGATGGTGCTACAAAAGATGTGATTCGGCGAACAATTTATGGTATATACCAAAAAAAAAATGAAGTACCAACCTTTGAAATGATTTGGTATAAATTACTTGACTATCCCGATTACAATTACAAATCTTTAGAGACTCTACGAGGTGTATTATTGTGGTCATAATGGAATCGACACGTATTGTTCAACTCCGACAAGAATATTTGAGGCGAAGGAAAAGCTACCGAGAAACCAGCAGACATATAATCTACCTCGACGAAACTTGGTTTGACACCCATGATGTTGTCAAATATGGCTGAGTAGACGAAACCAAGTATTGTGCTTTGAACACACCTTTTTCAAGGGGAAAAGCTTTGCTTCTGTCGGCCAGAAATATAAAAGATTCGTCTGCTGATTACCACGAAGATATGACTGCGGCTTTATTCGAAACCTGGTTTAGTGAGCAGCTTCTTCCAAATATTCCTCCAAACTGGATTAAGTATTGTTATGGATAACGCTTCGTATCATTCTCGGTTATTGACTATAATACCAAACAATAACACAAAAAAAGCAGATATTGTTGATTTCATGCGAAATCATGACAAGAAAATACCCGAAAAGATTCCAACGAAAAAGGTATTACCAACGTAATTTCAAAAAAGAGTATATTATTGATTTGATGTGTGAAACACGTGGTCATATTCTCTTACGTTTGTCTCCATACTATGGTGTGTTCAATTCAATTGAAATGGTTTGGGCCACAATGAAAGAAAGCTTGCGGAAATGTAATCAGTCACCGACTTTGAATGCTGTAGTGCTTGACAATATAAGGCGAGTGGTGAATGAAGTAGGTAATAGTGATGTGTGAAAGAACAAATATTATGTGCAAAGTTCCATGAATCCGATCGTTATTCAACCCAATGATGATTCCACCTCATCTGAATATAGCGAAGAAAAATTTTGATTTGTCTAGCAATTTTGTTGGCTTCTATTATTTTGTAAATAAGTTTGACGAGAATCCAGTGTGATTATTTGTGTTTTCATTGTATTTTAGAGTTTTCGATTCGGAAATCAACTACCTTAAATTTCGAAGTTTTTCATAATTACCTATGGTGGAAAAATTCAGTTGAGATAACTTTTTCATGGGGTGATCAATTGCTATGATTGTAAGAATAAGTAACTGAAAAACTACCACTGAAAAATAATATGCCGACGCCTATGTCGACATACTATTTTTTGCTGTTCCAATTGGTATTGGAAATACTATATGAGAATATGAAAATGAATTGCCAAACTTTCTTTGTTTCCTCAGACCCTGTGGGAATAATTCGTTAATACTGTTAATGTTAAATAAAAGTACCTTTTTATCCTTTGTAGGTCGCTTTATCAGAAACAAATGTTGTAAACGAACAAGTTACACCATTTTTGATAAACGCCGTGATAACCACACGGTGCAAAATTAGTCTTGAAAATAAAAACAAACGTTTTGGTATAGATTTCATTCTCAACATTTTTTCTCAATATCTACTGTAGTCAATTTCCTCAAGTAGCTGAGTAATGAATCATTTTTATGTTGCTGTTCCATAGGCGTACATTACTGAGTCAGTTAAAAAGTAAAAAGACAGCACTATGCATTCATAATTTACACATACTGGCAAGAGAAGATTGTGTCAGAAGTAATTCGAAAAAAAAGTCTTTATTCGTCAATTTTTTGATAAATTTCTTTCGTTTCAGATATTTCAATTTACAATGTATGCATTCAGTATGATCATGTGCGCATGTATTTGTAGTGCATATCTGCATTAGCAATATCAGTGTTTGTATTGATGACCGTGACATTTTTCATATTTCACATGTTTTCCATATCACTTTCTGGTTTGTTTTTCAATTATTTTTTGCTTGACTTGTGCTGTACAACTGTGTATATCATGAGTGTTGATAAAGTATATCTATCAATCTATCTATCTATCTTTGTTTTCAAAGGACCTTCTTCAATAATTATTTTTCTTTCAGTTCTCATTTTATCCACAGTGTGTTACTTTTGCTCTGCTATGATTTACTGGTTCATACTTAAGGTGAAAGAAATACACAAGAAGTGCTTCATTGGATATGCACTTTCTATGGGTGTCACATTTTCATTTTTGGTGACTTTTCAAACAATGAACGGAGATACAGGATGCGAGGCTGTAGGTAAGTGAAGTGAAGTAAATATCAAAAAAATGAGATTTCAGATATCTATTTTTTTATAATTTCTCTATATGTTCTCTGAAAAAAATTTTGGTTCAAAAATAACCTCGATTACAAAATTTTTGGGTAGGTACGCAGGTAGTCCAAAGTGAATGGGTTTCTTCGACCCATTCGCACACTTATTCGAACTCTACTGAATAAATCCGGCTTCTTAACGAAGCCGATTGGTTCCTTGTTGTTAGTATGGGTTGGGAAAATTTCGGATAGGCGCCCTCACCGAAAAAAAATGTGTGTTCTTACGTTACTTCATCAAATCAAATCAAATTTATTCATCACCGAAGTCCATACAATTGCATAAAAGTACAAATACAAAATGAGTATATATTTAAAGTCAATTTACATTAAAAATAACAAAAATACAAACATAAAATAAGTGTATACTGAAAAGAAGAACCGTTTGTTCATAAATAAAGGAACAATTGTACAATAAGAAAACATTAAAATATCAGTACGTTAATGATAGTGATGATATAAAATAATATAATAATAATATAATAATGTACATACACTTACATAAAAAATTCATATGAAGAATAAAATACGTTTTCTTCCAGGTATTTGTGGAGAGCGTTCCTTATAACGATTAAAACACCTTATCTTGATAAATATAACAGTTTTGCTCAATCGTTAGTCTGCAGAAAAGTTGACGTAAATTTTCACGCTTTCCAGTTGAATATTTGAGAATAAAACTACTTGATAAGATTGAAGCTTCTTGTTTTTTATATTTACAATAATTTGCATTATATACAGTGAAGGCAGTGTAAGAATTCGTAACTGTGAAAATAATTGTTTGAATGGAGTCCTTGGATGAGCTCCCACCATGGACCTAATAATTTTTTTCTGCATAACAAATATTTTATTGACATGAGCTGAATTGACTCAAAACATGAGACCATATGTTAGTTAATAAGGACTGGACAAGTCCTTAATATACCAATTTAATACTTTCAAAGACAGTGTTCTGTGTAGCTGTCTAATTATAACGTACGTAGTGCTTAATTTTCTCGCAGGAACATTGATGTGTTCCTCTCATGTCATCTTATGGTCCATAATAGTTCCAAGAAAATTCACTTGTTAAATGCTTTCATTATCGATTTTTATCAGATAACCAACATAATTGTTCACATTTTGAGTTATAAATGTCATAAAAAGTTTTGAATACATTTACTAGTAGCCCATTATAAAGACAACATTTATGAAATTCATTTGCGGTGATATTTGCCCTCTCCACTGAATCCCATGTGTTAGTTTCTGAGACCAGTACATTTGTATCATCAACATACATAATAATATGTTTTTTACATTAGGACAGTATGCCATGTCATTCATAAAGACGATGAATAAAACGGGACCTAAGATAGATCCTTGTGGTAGACTGATATTAATTGCTCTCGGTTCTGAGTTACTTTGATTCATAACTATTACTTGTATCCTATCTTTCAAGTATGAAGTAACCCAATTATTTGCCACATCTCAATACGTTACAATGTATCAAGTGAGAGTGTATGAGTGATTGTTTCAAATGCCCTACTGAGATGATAGTATAGGGTTATCAGCCGTTCTTTCCCATTTGATGCAGCGTGGATCTGTTTAAAATATGTTTTCCGTTCACTCGTTAACTACCTGTCGTACCCCTACGAATGACAACCCTCAGAAGTCGAAACTTGTGCGAGCTAAGGATTAACGAGGTTTTACCTTTTAACGTGTGATATAGATGTAGATGTTCGTACACAAGTTTGCAATTGCTCTAGTCGTGGGTTTATTGCTTCTAAAGCTATTTTGATAACTCAATAGGAGCTTTTAGCTTTCTAAAAATGAATACAACTGAATATTGAATGAGGCATCGAAACATACATTTCGATAAAGTAGATTGCGAATCCGAAAGAAAAATTTCGATGTACTACATTATTTTCAAAGTTACAGTCCTCCAAAGAACTGTCCAAACTATAGAATCACAAGTATTAGGTTGCATTAAGTCCGTTTTCATGAGTCTACTTTATTTTGGGAGATCTCAGTGAATACTCATTCAATTTAATCAAAATGAGCGCCATTTGAATCACTACACTTTTGCCAATGTAACTCGAAATTGAGTACTCGGGATTCGATGAAGTCGATAAAGGCCGTTTATGTCTGGTCCTGTTTCCGATGAGAGAGTAGTTATCGAAGTACTCGAAAAGATGGTAGTGGTTGGCGAGAGGTTTTTTTTTTCATAGCTCTACACCAATAAAAATATATAAAAATACATAATACATACACCTACTTGAAAAATTCAACAATTTAAAACGATTACATTCATTAATTCATTCATTCAGATAGTCAGCAACTGAATAGTAACATTTTTCCAACAGAAACTGTTTCAATAATTTTTTNGGGTATAAGATACACCTGGTGCAAGAATTGAAGCCACAAGACCTCCCACAACGTTTAACATTTGGTGAATGGGCGCTGGCAAAGTTGGCGGAAGATCCAAATTTTTATCGAAAAATTGTGTTCAGCGACGAGGCTCATCTCTGGTTGAATGGTTACGTTAACAAGCAGAATTGCCGCATCTGGAATGAAGACCAGCCACAAGCATTGCCAGAGCTACCGATGCATCTCGAAAAAGTCACTGTTTGGTGTGGAATACGGGTCGGTGGTATCATCTGGCCGTACTTCGCTGCCATGCAGCGAACAATCTCAGCACACCTAGTTGACATACCCCATGACATACTATCTAAGTTGGGAGTCTATATGAGCGGAATAAAGAGTTATTACCCGTTTTCTGGTTGAAAAATTACGCATGTTCCTGACTATGTAATTCATTGAGTGAAGCTTGGCAATAATATGTCCACATTATGACTTCCAGTCAAGGTGCTCATCAAAATAAAGCCCTAGAAATGTCATTGTTACCTTATTAGAGCTTGATAAGGGCTTGTCATTCATTTCGATTTCGGGAAAGAATGGTTGGCGAGGCAGAACTTCGAGACTCAATTTGTTCAATTTTCGAACGGTGATTTGTGGAACGTGCGGATGGGTGTTGTCGTGAAGCATCAGGATCGTCACTCGTCTGTTGACGATTTCGTCGATTTTCTCATAATAGGACTCTGCTGTGATAGTTCAGCCCGGTTGCAGAAAGATAGTGAATCACACCAGGTGCTGACCACCGTACAGTAACCATGGTCTTTTTTATTAGGTTTTTGCCTTTGGGAAGTGCCTGGGTAATTCATTGGTGTCCACTGTACTGAATGTCTCCTGTTATAGATGATCTACTTTTCATCATACGTGACAATCTAATTCAAAATAGAACAGTTCTGGTTGCACAAAAGCAAAGAAGAACAAACTTCGAAACGTGACCATTTCTGGCGATCGTTCGAATTGTGGTACACTCACTTTTCTAACGTTTCAAACCATGAGAGCGAACGGCCAGTTCTTCCGCCATCACACCCACCGTTTATCATGTCAGTCTCCTTCAGGGCCCTCAAATCCTCGTCTAGGTCGACCACTTATGGGCTTATTTTCGAGGCAAATTTATGCGGAACAGAATTTCTGAAACCAAGGTCGAACAGTGGGTTCCAAAACACTATCCACTGGTTGATTTTTCGGGCTGTTTCGGCAGCGCTTTTTGGTTCAATTTGAATGTGGAATTGGCCGCGATGGTAGTGCGCTCAACTCACGATCGGAAAACCGTGGGTTCGATTCCCGCCTCGACCAGATATTTTTCTCTAGAGAATTTATCTTGTTGAAACTGGAATGATTCTGCAACCGTGTTAGGAATCACACGTTAAAAGGTAAGACCTCGTTAGTCCTTAGCTCGCACAAGTTTCTCAACTTCTGAGAGTTGTCGTTCGTATGGGGGCGATAGCTGATTAAGGAAAAACAGATTTTAAACAGAATTCATAGAGAAAAATTTGCCTAAAATCACTCATCGATATCGTACATTAATAAGCTCAGAAGTAGTGAAAAAATAAAATTTTGAAAAGTGTACAGAGAACAAAATTCTCTATTGATTAGTTCATACCCACGAGATGTGGATCTACAAAAGCACATGACATTAAAACAGACAAAACTTTGGTAACAACCAAATATTTATTCACGACATCAAATTCACATCCCATTTTTACTTTGGTAATCAATATTTTTCCTATAAAAAACATTGTGAGGTTATACACTAGTGACATTTCGGAAAAAATAGCTCCGTCAATTGATAAAAAATTTATAGAAAAAATGTTTATTATTAAACCAAATAGTTTCGAAGGAAGTGAAATAAAATGTGAAGGTGATGTGATAGATAAATATTGGTATTTTTATTTGATTTGTATTGTGCAAAAAAGGTGGAGGGGTGTAACTCTATTAGTGAGGGGACCACCGGTTTTTTCTTCTGGATTCGTTATCCACACGTCAAAATACGTTACTTAGTACACACAATGTTATTTTTCAAACTCGGCCGGTGCAGCCTATTCGAAATATCATCTATTTTCAACTTCAAATTCCATTTTCTCATTTTTTCAGGTGGATTATTTTCCTTCTCGATTATAACGGCATTTAGCTGGCTAACATGCCAATGCTTTGAGATTATGATCATGGTGAGGTGAGTTACAAGTTCAAATGGTTTATAGTTTCACAGAACAACAGGTATCGGCAAACACCTATATACCTGGCTAGTACCACCATATATACTCGTATTATCGACAAACATTTGTGCTCCTCTTCCCTCTATATTATTGGTTTCTCCACTCCCCAAGGTTTTGGATATGTAAATAGGGCGAGACCTTCTTAATATTTGCTATTTGTCTAGAAAATGAGATTTGGAAAGTTTCAGCTCAATTAGATAACCCGTCCTTTATCATGATGGAATTGGTAAAATTTTTTTTGCTTAAAATCGCCGTTTTTTCTCATAAAATGAGAACTACAATTATCCTATATCGGTGAAACTAAGAGTCCATTGAATGTTCGCATTGCCGAGCACAAGAAACACACAAAGCGAAAGGAAACCAGCAAATCAGGAATAGCAGAGCATGTTTGGACCCATCACCATAACATCGAGTGGTCCCAAGCTGAGATCATACACAGTGAGCAGCATTGATTTAGGAGAAAATTCAAAGAAGTCGCATGTTGTCCAACAACGTATTTACCCAAGCTAGCGTAGAGATACGCAACATATGGAAACCCATCATCAAGAGAGAAATGGCCAACTCTCGCTAAAAAGTCATCTTCCACTAAACCAGTGAAGCGAAAAATGGAAAGCGGAGATAAGTGAAAGTACTCGAATGACCCATAAATAGTCATCTTTCGGAGGAATCAGTCCAGTCATCATCCAAAAACGATTGTGTATACTAACAATCGAAACGTCGTGAAGTAACTTGGTTTGGAATCTTTATTTTTTTATTTTTTGTTCTATTTTCAATTGTATTTTATTTCACTATTATTTCATTTCAGTTTTTTTGCTTTATATAATTGTTATTTTCATCTATTCATTTTCAATTCTTCGTTTTTAGTTCTTTCAGGGATTTCAAATCATTTTGTATAATATTAGACAATGTCCGAACTAATGAAATTCAGAATTATACGCTATATACCAATCCTCACTATTCTATGAATTTGCACGAAACGAAACTCAATTCCTAATTTGTACCAACTCGTTGAGTTCCATAAGATCGATCCAAAATAAATTTACTTTTGACCCCCTTGTAAGGATTATTCTTGTCAGAATTCATATTATGAAGAAAAGTGGTAGAGCTGTCAGCTTCATGTGGGTGCCAAGTTATTGTGGCATAAAGAACAACGAGGATGTGGATAAGGCAGCTATAATGGTTGATAGTTCCAACGAACATGAAGATACACCACTCCACCTAGAAGATCTGAAGTATTATAATAAAACCAAAGAAGAATCTGACTGGCAGACTCTTTGGAATGAAACTGACGCGAAACTGAAATTCTCAAAACCAAGTGTGAACAAGCGAATCTCACCATTGAAATTGACCAGAAAATGACAAGTTGTTCTCACACGTCGGCGAATCGGTCATACAAAAATGACACACCTCTACTTGTTCCTAGGAGAACAACAACCTCTATGTATTACATGCCAAACAGTACTAACAGTACTTGTAAAATGTCCAGAATATGAGGAAACAGTAGACAACATAACATAACTGAGGCAATGAAAGAAATTCTATGTGATGATAAACGAACGTTGAGAAACCTGATTACATTTTTGAAAGCCGCAGATATAATAGATGAATTTTGAAGAACAAATAGCAAGTACGCGGCTAATAAATTAGCAGTTGATGCTGCAAAAAAAATAATTTCTTCTGGTTTAGTATATCATTTTGTTTTCATTTTTTTCTAAATTAATCATTTTCAATTTTGATTGTGCAGTATCCACTTCGAAAACAGTTTTAACTGCACCCTTTTTCTATGTACCAATATATAAAGCAAAATCTGGACAGCAGATGTAATTGAATCTTACAATTTTTTTAGGTATTTTATAAAAAAAAAACATTTTTATAAAAAGTTAAAATTTCAACCTTGATGACACACGGATTAACCTTATACAATTGAGCTGAAACTTCACCAATCTCATTTCTTAGCCAATTGACAGCTGTTAGGTCTCAAAAAAATGTCAACATTGTTTTCATGTGATCACCCTTATGTGAATAATCTTGAACAACAAAAGTCAAAATGAGTCTGAATATTTTAAATTAGAATCGAAAAGTTCACCTCCTCCAACGTCCCTACTACAACTACCTTCCTGGCTAACGCCAAGATGGACATGGAATTGTATCCGACAGACAATTATGCAAGTTACTTCACAGATAATTTTTCATCCAGCAGTAGGACTTCAGTGAAAGACAGATGATGGTAGCTGGGCTGTGACATTCTACCGCATAGGGATGATGAGGGAGGTGAAAGTTCCGAATTCAATTCGAAAAGAGTAGGAAAAGCCGGATTTCAGACCACCCACTCTTTCACTTTTGCAATCACCCAGTTGACCAATCAGAAGCCACAGCGCATACAGCGGGAAATTCAAATTCCATAAGAGGTCTGTATGTCTATGTAGGAGTGAAAGAGGACGGTTTGACGTGTGAGAGAGATGGAGATAAAATTGAATTGTAATGAGATGATGACGTCGACGATGATTAGGAGAGTCTAACGTTTCAACGTGCCAGAAAGACACTAAGCCGTATCTTCATTAATAATAGTCGGATCGCTACATGTCAAATGAAAGGGAAATTAATGCAGAAAAATAAAGAAAAAATTATAATAGTCGGATTGTCATGTACAGCACGTCAAATGAAAGGAAAATGTATCAACAGAGAAAATACTAAGATGATGTGACATGTCAGAAGGGCACTAACTGGTATAGTCGCATCTTCAAGTGTAGCTTATGAAATGAAAGGAAAGAGAATTGTTGAATTTATTGACGAAGAAAAAACAAAGGTGTGGTTAAAATTTCACTAAGCCGCATCTTCGGTAATAAGAGTTGGATCCATCGACGAAGAAAAAAAGGGGTTTCAACAATTTTCATTCACGGTCTCTAGACGCACGTTTTGCTAACCAATTTAGCATTATCAGAAGTTGATTAATTTCTATGCTTTTTCGTATGAAGGTTCATTTTTCAATTATGATACAAAGTGACGTCGGCCATTCAAAGACCAAGGACAAAATCGATGACCTATTTCGAGGACCAATTAGGGTAAGTAGTTGTTGGTGGGGAAATTTAAGGAATAACAGGTGATTGTACTGATGAAAATACAAACATTCCATTTGATATGCTACACGTGACGATGCAACTTTTATTAGTGAAAATAGTGCTTAGTGCCCTTCTGACATGTCACATCATCCTAATTTTTTCTTCGTCGATAAATTCTGCAATCATTTTCTCTTCATTTGACGTGCTGTTCGTGACTATCCGACTATTATTAACGGCTTAGTGACCTTCTGACATGTTGCGCTAGCTTTGTTTTTTCCTTGTTGATAAATTCTGCATCAACTTATCTTTCATTTCACGCGCTGAACGTGTTTTTTTTGTAGGGTTTATAAAAAACAAACCTGGGTTCAATTGCATCACTGGCTGTCTGCAGCAGAGGTTGCGCAGTAAGCGCTTCTCGCCATAGGCTCAGTCTCAATTTACCCATTCCTACTTCGAGGTTTGCACCACCCGTGCGCAATCGTAACATAGTCATTAACGCAACCTCCTTAACGTACAGGTCCAGAGGCGTTAGACCCGTAATTAATTCCATTGCCGCGGTTGGTGTTGTTCTCATGACTCCTGTGATGTTTAAACAAGACAATTGCTGTATTTGATATGATTTTTGGATGGCCGTTGCTTGTAGAACTTTCGGTCCCCATGCACTGACTCCGTACGTTAACATAGGTCTTATTATTGCAGTGTAGATCCAGGTGACCACACGGGGTGAAAGACCCCATGCGCGTCCCACTGTCCTCTGACATTGCTTATAAGCCACATATGCTCTTTTTGCTCTACTCTGTAAGTGGGAGTTCCATGTTAGTTTCATGTCGAGGATAGTACCAAGGTATTTCACCTCTTCAGAGAAGTTTAGTGTTCTTTTGAAAACTTCGGAGGGGCCATTCGGATATATTGCACCTTCTTTTTTTTTTGAATAATTCTGCATTTTTCCTTTTATTTGACGTACTGCACGCAGCGATACGACTATTATTAGCGAAGATACTGCTCACTGTTCTTCTGGCCTTTTGGATAACACGTTAAAACGTTATACCCTGCTAATCATCGTCGACGTCGTCATCTCTCACTCTTACACTCACACACCCCTTATGGAAGTTGAATTTTCCGCTGTGCGCGCGGTAGCTTCTGATTGGTCGACTGGGTGATGGCAAAAGTGGGGGAGTGGAAGTGATCTGAAATCCGGCTTTTTCTACTTAAATATTTGTTTTCTCAGTACGTTCAAAGATGTTTCTCAACCATTATTTAAATGAGTATTCAGTAGGTTGAGCCAACCAGAGATGAATAATGTATATGTATTTTTGTAGGAGATTCAGAGAAGAATCTAATGATGACCGGTTTCGTTTTTACATAGCTGCTACATTGATAATACCCATACTAATTTTGCTGATATCTCTCATACCCACGGGAGAGCCAGATCTCCCAGATCCATTTATAAAATCAAATGGAAATCAGATGTGCAATTTTGAGGGTGAGCAAAGTGGATTTATTTGTCTTTCGTATGAAAATGTGTATGTATTATAAAATATTTTGGAGATGTTAGGAATGCAGATTTCAAAATTTTATTTATCATAATTCTGCGTAACCTTTTCAAACGTTTACTTCATGGGAATTCATTCAAGAGATGTTTTCTACTAAGGCGTAGAAAGGCCAGACTCCACGGGGAAAATTTCGACGAACACCTGAGCTGTCGTGGCATTTCAATGGTTGAAAACTGTTGGAGAGAAATTTTCAAAAAGATTTGTGGCCATTCAATTCCTTCGTAGTTTTCTTCATAAGTTAATTCCTACATGTTTATTATTTCAGGTGCAAACGTGCTATTCTTCTTCATAGTAGTTGGAACTTTATTGATATGTTGTCTCCTTTTTTTGATGTACAACTTTTACCAAGTGAATCGAAACGAAACAAAATTTCGGAACAACTTCAACTGGTTAGAAAAAAGAAGCCAATTTATGTACATGTGAGTATCAACGGGGTACCAAAGAAAGGTGGGAGAAATGATAGAACACATTATTTATACAAGAAGCTCTACCCTGCATACTCTGATCATTGAATCGACAATTGCGACAGAGAAGGTCAACCTTGTCTAGAAGGTGTCGATATTCAGCATATTCAAAAATATTCGAAATAATGAGTGATTTTTTTTGCTGGTATCTTTTTGGCAAGACTGTTTTTGACAGATCACGCGTGAATCGTGTCTTGTGTCATTGTCAAACTTGTTCAGTTTGGTCTATAACTTGACCATGAATCGACTTACGAATGAACAACGCTTGCAAATTATTGAATTTTATTATCAAAATTCATGCTAGGTGAAGAAAGTGCATCGTGCACTTCTTCCAATTCATGGGCAGTTTCGTCGGCCTACTGAGGGAGCTATTCGGAAGCTTGTGACTAAATTTCGAACCCAGTTTACATTATTGGACATTAAACCACCAACACGCATACGTAAAGTGAAGACCGAAGAAAATATTGCGGCTGTATCCGCCAGTGTCCATGATAACCGTGAAATGACGATTCGCCGCCGTTCGCAGCAATTGGGTCTCTGTTACTCCACTACGTAGAAAATTTTGTGAAAGGATTTGGGTATAAGATACACCTGGTGCAAGAATTGAAGCCACAAGACCTCCCACAACGTTTAACATTTGGTGAATGGGCGCTGGCAAAGTTGGCGGAAGATCCAAATTTTTATCGAAAAATTGTGTTCAGCGACGAGGCTCATCTCTGGTTGAATGGTTACGTTAACAAGCAGAATTGCCGCATATGGAATGAAGACCAGCCACAAGCATTGCCAGAGCTACCGATGCATCTCGAAAAAGTCACTGTTTGGTGTGGAATACGGGTCGGTGGTATCATCTGGCCGTACTTCTTCAAAGACGACAATGACCCGAACGTTACTGTGCCCAAAATGGAAGAATTTTATCCGATAAAATAAATGAATAAATCGATACATATGAGGTCTGTTGAAAAATAATGTGAATTTTCATTTTTCTTAAAATAAATTTATTTATTAATAAGTTTCTAGTTGGTCCCCTTTAAAGTAGTCCCCTCACAGATAAAATACCTTTGAGCCAGCGTTTTCACCAATCTTTGAAGCAGTTACGATATGCACTTATTGATATGTCCTTGAGCTCTCTTAGCGATTCAGTTTTCATCTCCTCAATCTTCGTAAATGCCGTCGTTTCATGGGTCTCTTCAATCTTTGGAACAGAAAAAAGTCGCAGGGGGCTGAATCTGGTGAATACGATGGCTCAGGCAAAACGCCGCCCTTTCATGGATCTTTTCAATTTTTGGAACAGAAAAAATTCGTAGGGGGCTAAATCTGGTGAATACGGTGGCTGAGGCATGCATCGGTGTTGTTTCTGAGCAAAAAATCACGAATAAGCAATGTCCAGTGAGCAGGTGCTTTATCGTGCAAATCGGTATCGCCGTTGAGGTTATTTAACAGTTCTTAAGCGATGCTTATGCGATGGTTTTTTTAGTAAAAATTCAACAATATCAGAACGAACTGCCACAGGCGTCATGCCCAAAATTTCTGAAAAAATTGCATGGTATGAGCAAACCGATATGCCGACATCTGCAGCAACTTCTCTGTTGGCGATTCGATGATTCTCCATAACAATTTTCGAGCGAATGTCTGTGGAAAGCTTTCCCCACTTGTAAACATTTTTATGACTCAAAGTACAATCACCGTATGCCACTGTCAACATTTGCAAGTGTTTTTGAGCACTTGATTCCATTTTTTCACAAAATTTGATGCAAATTCTTTGATCCATTTTTTTCGATAGCAGAGATCGCCGAACACACGAAACATCTGAAACTGTGTTGGAGACTAGTGTATCAACAAAAAAGTCGCTAATCGAATACACGTAGCCCTTAAAATTTGTTCATTCACTCAATTTTTTGAACAGACCTCTAATTATAAATTAGAGTGTCCCGCCCTTTCTGTTTTTTTAAACACGATAAAGTCAAAAACTAACGAATGGATTTCCAAACAGCTCTGACCATACTTTTTATACTTCTTACGCCAGACCTCAAAGCTTATTTCTTGAATCTCACGGGTGGTAACATGCTAAGTTACTATACAGTTAGTTGAGGTCATCTGTCAATGTCGTTAACTCGGTTCTGATCAAGTGATCAAATGTAGCTTGTGAAAAAAATGTTTGTACTCTGATCCACCCTTCAAAATAATATATCAAACGATAAAACACTCATAACATTCCATTGATTTTTCCAGATCTCGTTCCTGCTTTTTAATTTGGTTGACATCGACCATCTGGATAGTGGATATAATTATAAGAGAAACAGGTTGGTTTTTTGGAAATCCTGATGTTTGCGACGTCATAGAATCTCTCCAAGGAATATTCACAGTGGCGATTTTCGTAACGAACAGATATACGAGAAAAGAAATTTGGGCGAAACTCACCAGTGATTCCAGCGCCACATCCGAACATCGCAAGCGCCTTGGAACTTTCAACTGGATTATGAGTCATTTGTCTTTGAAAAATAAAAGTTCTCCTGAGAATCCAGAGGAAGAACGTGTCAGTGTGGATAAATGAATGTCAAAAGTTTTAGGATTTGAATGAATATTATTTGGTACTCAATTTGAACCAAACATAAAAGATACTTTTCTGTCCTTGGTTCTTCTCATGCAGGATATCGTCGATGACGTAGAAGATCGGAGATATAGGTTTTTCCTATAAAGGAGTTTTTGAAAGACATTCGAAATAATTTATTGTTTTTTCAATTCATGCAGATTTTCATGTGTTAGCATGTGCTTCATCCCATCTTTTCATGTCGCACTTTCCGGTATTATTTTCCTTGATATACCCGCCACTACCTATAAATATTATCACACAATATCTGCATGAGTATCAAGTAAATAATTTTGTTTTTCTTTCGTTATTACACAGACTGAATCATGAAAAGAATGATTTCTGGGGATGATTAGCATATTTTTCAAAAAGAAGTTCATAAAAGTGTGTAAGCCCTAAGTTGCTCCATTTTCAGAAAAAGTTCAAATTTCAGTTGATACAATAACCGAAAATTTTCAAGTGATAAGTCAGAAAAGAAAGAAATAAAATATCATAAATACAAAACACTTAATTAGTCATTAGTTATTTCTAAAATAATATGAAAAAAACTTGTCAAATTTTGCAATAGTTTCCAGTATATTGTATAATAATGTCATTAGGAGCAACTTTTTGCCATGTCAGCTGGATTCAAGTAGAATATTTGAATAAATTGAAAAGGTAATATTTTTAGGAGTAACTAATTTTTGGAAAAGAAAGTTTTTGGCTTTCTACTACTCCAAATTGATACAAAAAAACTGTGGGAATCTTCTAAAGAAAGAAAGAAAGCAATCAATTTTGAAAAAAGTAACTCAATACACAGTAGTGTACATCATGCAAAGAAGTAACTTTCAGACACAAACTGGAAGAAAAAGCCCTCCTAAAACAGCTACTTTCATATAAACATTGAATTACACGGAAGAAAAATCCTTTCCAAACAGTAACCAAACCAAACATTCGTTATGGAATTAAATCAGATATCATTCACAGGATTTCTACACAATATACTGAATAAAAGGTAAAAATGTCACCTACATGAAATATTCTCGTCTTCAATGGCAGACATCGATGTTTCGACTTGTCTTTGGGCTTTTCAGTACCAATCTGAATAACGTTATAAGAAAAAACAAACAATTTTAATTATAAATTACGATTTTTATGTCACGGAATAAGTTTGATCTACATATGTCATCTATGACATCATAATGGCATACAACCCTTTCAATTTACACAAGATTCCTTTTGGATGGGATTAAATCAAATAAGTTAATGAATGTCATTACGATGTCATCGATAACATAAGTAGATCAAACTTATTAAGTGACATAAAAATCGTTATTTATAAATCAATACTGTGTTTTTTCTTATAATGTTATCCAGATTAGTACTGAAGAGCCCTAAGGCAAATGTTTTGCAGCGAAACATCGATGTCTACCAGTGAGAATGAGATTGTTCCATGTAAGTGAAATTTTCACCTTTCATTTAGTATTCATTTAGTATATATATGTAAATTCTGTGAATGATATCTGATTTATTGCCATGACGAATGTTTGGAATACAAACTGAGTAGAGAAAATTTTTTTCTTATAAGTCAGCGTTCATGTAACAGTATTTGTTTCGAAATAATTTTTCTTTCGTGTAATTCAATATTTATATGAGAGTTGCTGTTTCGAAAGGGTTTTTTCTTCCACTTTTTTGCATGATGTACACATCTTTGTATAGAGTTAATTTTTTAAATCGATTGCTTTCTTCCTTTCTTTGGAATATTCCCACATTTTTTTATAAATATGGAGAAGTAAAAAGCCACAACTTTCTTTGACCGAAAAAAAGAATAGTTTGAAATGAATTTAAAAAGGTAATGCTCAATGTATGTATTTGTTTTGGTGACATATTGTATGTCTGTCGTTATTTATTTGAACTGTATAAATATTTGAAGGCTAATAAATGTCGTATCCAAAATATTTCGATCTTTGTCACTTCCACTTCGGGTAATGAAAACTTAAACTCTCAAAAGAACAAATAAAACAACCGATTATAAAGCCAAGAACAATAAAAAAACAATACTCGTATATCTGTTCTGAAGTAACACACTTATTAAAATTTTCCTGCTCCCCAGGCTTCGTCAATGATGTTTGTAAGGATCTCTGCTGACTGAAACAAACAAAGAGCCTCCATCCAAGAGCTTCCAATGCCGCTTGACTCGGACAGTCAAGCGGCATTGGAGGCTCTTGGCTCCTACCGAGCAACGTTTAAATTGGTAGCAAATTGGCAAAAACGACTCTCCTCGATAGGAAGACTTAACAGATTGTCTCTGGTCTAGATTCCTGGCCATACTGGCCTGTAAGGCAATGAGGTTGCTGACTCCCCTGCAAATCAGGGTGCTGCAAGCAGCTTCATCGGACCAGGGCTTGACATACAAATATGATCACCCGGATGTCAAAAAGATCTATGGACTTCTGTCAGAATCTTCCAGGATTGGCTCACTCCAAGGCGTTTACTCACCCTTTGAAGCTTGATACCAAACAGTTGGTGGACTACACAGCAGTAGAGATGAACTACGATGTCTAACAGGCCTTCTTACAGGTGTGTCGCCTCTGTTTGGAAAATGATTAAACAGCAGAGCAGATACTTTGTGCTGTTTTGACAGTTCGTCAGAGCCGTACTCTTACCATCTGGCCTGAAAGACCACTCACCATACAAACTAATCGGCTTCGTTGAGAAGCTGGGTTTAAAAAAATCTGAAGCAAATGGAACTTCAAACGTTCAAGCCAGTCTCTATATATCTACACAGTAGGTTTAATGGACTGACGCCTATCAGAAAACAACTACTCCCCTGGCTGATACCACGAAGGGTGTTGGATTATATTGGATTTCCGATAGGCGTCAGTCCATTAAACCTACTGTGTAGGTATATAGAGACTGGCTTGAACGTTTGAAGTTCCATTTGCTTTAGATTTGTTTACTGCCAGTCTTCAAGCATAGCCCATTGACTAATAAGGAAGCTGGGTTTATTTGGTCGAGGAAGAATACCCACTCATTTGGACCTGACCTCACTTAACCTAACCTGACCTAACCTCCAGCAGTGTTGCAAATCCAAAAAGCTTCACAAAATGCATTTCAATGATACACATCGCATTCAATTATGTCTACCTTGGTTGCAAATGAAACATCAGGCCCAAAATCCTGAACACCTCGACTGAAAAATTCGAAAACAACGAATAATGTGTTTGATCAAATGATTACGAAACAAGAATTGCAACATTCTTCTCGACGCCTGTTTCACCAACCAATAGTGCTTCTTCAGGCGTACTTCATCTCCTGGAGACGTGCGACAAGAAGAGTATTGCAATTTTGGTGTTCAGGAACAATACTTTTATTGGATTGATTTTACGCCAGGGGTTCCAAATTTACCATTCACTCCACATAGAATGATATTTGTTTTATTCTGTCACTTTTGGAAATAAAAAGACAAAGACAGAATAAAACATTTCGAGAAAAATATATAACATATATCGATTGGTAACTGGTACAGAGTGGGCCAAACTGGGCACTCTGAACAGGGAAACTCCTGTTCTCAAACTAGATTGATGAAAACTGATGGACGTGTCTGGGGGTCAAATTTTATGACAAATATAATGGTGAAAACCGCATATCAAGTTACAGACTTCAAAGACTTCAGAAAATCAGTTGGAGGGAAAAATGATACATTCTTACTGCAACTGCATGAACAGGTGTTTGAGTTTGGTGAATAAGTAGGGAACATTCTCGTTCATCATTAAAACCTCGTTCTTGAAATTTTTCGTCAAGAACAACACTTGTAAATTGCTATTCATGTAGCAAGTGTTTCCTAAATGATCCAATCCAATTTTCTTCTCAAAATTTTCATGACAACTCTACTGATTCGTAAGGAAGAACATGTTTCACATATTCTGCATCAGAACCATTTCTCAAGCTGCGATCGATTCTTCCAAGTGAAGAAGGGTTTCGCAGAGGGATTGATTCGGCTCTTGCTTCATGAAGCTCTTCCACTGAAAGGGAACCAGAACCACGATGACTACAACTCATATTTGGCAGGCAAGAATAACCTAAGTCCATTGACCGCACTGAAAAAGAAGAAGGTGGATCAATCATTTGTGAATTAACCTTAATAGGAGACTGATCAATATCCACATATCTCGGCTTGTTTCGAAGAGATTTCAGTTCCGTACTGAAATTAGGGCAATGCATGGGCAATGAAAATTATGTGAAGGGGGAATAGTTCCAAGGACCGAAGCAGCATTACCACGTTGAATAGCGATGGTAATTCTATCAAAAAAGACGAAGAATGGTGATTTTTCGTTGCTTGGCCTATTCTTCCAAGTTCATGAACGAATAACAGAGACTCCGGACCATAAACACCAAAAGTTTCAACCGCTCCTGGATGGAACAGATAGTTGTTACCAAGATTTTGGTATTTTTTTTTTTCAATTTTTCGCCAGACAATGCTGCGGTACCAGAAAACTTCGAACTTTCGGCTAGATGGGAAGCCGCGACCGTTATCGATGGAAAAATATTTTTAGCCAAAAATGTAGCACACTTGATATTTGGCTGCAGTCGTCTTTGAAATACAGAGCTTTTAGGTTTTTCGTGTAGACTTTGAATCCACACTTTCATCAAGTAGGCTTTGGAAGATGCGGCGATAAAACAGAATACAAATCTTTAGTGGTAGCTGTCAAATTTTCATTTGAGCAGTGAAGACGCTCTTCAATTAGTGGTTTCTGTTCAATTTTCAAACACATTCGCAATGAAGTAGGGGAATATGATAGTCTGTTTTATACAAACCGGGAAAATGCAGAAACAGCAAACAATTTGTTTCATGAGAGGTATCCAGAGAGAAGACAACCTTTCAGAGACATTTTCGCAGGATTGCGACACAGCCCAATTAATGGTTGCCAGTTTGAAAAAAAAGGCCAAGGTTATATCATTCAAACAGGGATATGGAGTTGGAAATAGTCGTTTCAGGAGCTATTGAAAATAATCCCAAAACGTCACCGCGAAATTTGAAAATATCAGCAGGCCTACCAAGAAGTAACGTTAGGAAGATTTTGAAAAAAAACACAAATTCAAGCCATTCAGGCCAGAAGGGTTCATCAACTCAGGCCAGGAGATTTTGAACGCCGCATGGCTTTTTGCCAGTGGTTCCTGGAAAGTTGTAATCAAGTGCATGATTTTTCGTTAAATTATATTTGGACTGACGAAGCTTATTTGAGCAGTGCCAGCATTTTCAACCGCTACAATTCTTATACTTGGGCACAAAAAATCCTCATTGTAATGTGGAGCAGAGACGACAAGAAAGATTTGGATTTAGTGTGTGGGCAGGTGTTTTTAGGAGTAGAATAATTATTCTACTCATTATACGATTATAATCGGCTCATTAATTTATAATGACACTCTCACATCTCATATTGCCGCTAATGGAGCTCAGAAAAATGTATTTTGAACAAGACGTGTCTTCGCTTCACAACACTAACAATTGGATAGCCAACGAAGGACCTAACCGTTGGCCGGCCAGGTCACCAGACCTAACGCGTATGGAATTTTATCTCTGGGGAAGTTTGAAAGATCTTATTTTCAAATTGCAAAGTTTTGCTTCTCTCACTCCTACTGAACTAATTAATACCACAAATAACATTAAGAAAAGGTGTCGCCTGTGACGAAATATATTTCATTGTTTGTTCTCTATTATTATTATTATTAGTATTATTATTGTATAATTTATTAGTAGTAAATCTATACTAATCTATACTAGTATAAATGTGAAAATTTGTGAGGATGGATGTATGTATGTTTGTGGCTCTTTCACGCCTAAACGACTTTTCTTTAAGAGAAAACACAAGCAATACAGGAAAATCCTTAAGGCGCTCTCAAAGCGGTGCCTATGCGAAAGTAGCAATTCAGATTGGATTTGAATCGCTGGAGATTAAATCCATTTGGGAAAACGTTCTCATGAAGTTTACTCCACATAAACGCAGTTCTCCAGATGGAAGAGTTCTTAATCAGCGAAGTTCAAGGTGTACTGAGTTGAACTTCAAAACAATGAGCAGCCACAGTCCGTCGCGTATTTCTCATATGTACCGCTCTTGGTGGAATCAAGTTGAGTCACTTGAACACCTCCCGTGAAAGTAATCTATAGAAGAGAGACAAAGCTCCAACCTTTATTCGATGTTCCAATCTATCAAGGTTGCACGTGATTTTCTGGATGGAATTCAGCAACTTCAGGGTATGTTTGGGGCCAGAGCTCCATACATGAGAACAATACTCCAAAGAAGATCGCATTTGAGCTTTATAAAGCATCACAAGTTGCTGGGGTGTGTACAGTTTTCTGGTTCGGAACATTGTTCCAAGCTTTTGAGAAGCAGCCTTTGCAATTCCAGCGACATGATTGTGCCAAGACATATTGAACGGGTTACAGAATAACTATACATTTACAGAATAACATATAGGCTACAATTTACAAAGGTTTTGTATAATTTTTATTATAATATTAATACAGATACTTTTTTTACAATGCACATATCAGAATAGGTGTCAAATTCTTATAAAATTGATACAATTGTCGTTTTAAGTATTTAATATAGATAAACTTTGTCTTTTACACTAAGTAATGTGGACGAATCGTTTAAAAGTTATCACAATAACATTAACTTGACGCAACGCAGTAAGCTATTGTACGTCGCGTCTACTGTAAGATGACGGTAGACGATGCGCAGGGGTAGAGGGGCGGTCTAAGCAATGAAGCGCCATCGCCAAGAACGCGATCCGAACGCGTGAGGGCAGAAGTCGTTGACGGTTGTATTAAATTAATCCCTCTGACATTGAGAAGACAGCCTTCAATGTTGAAGGAGATCATTATGAGCACTTGAGGATGCCAATAGGCCTCAAGAACAGTCCAGCAACGTTTCAGCACTATATGGATGAAATCCTCAGAGATCACATTAATAAGGGTTGTTTAGTTTACCTAGATGATATTATCGTCTGCCCAAACGCGGGCAGACGTTGTTGACGGTTGTGTTAGTTTTGCGCATTTATTTATAGGTAATATAATTCGATTCTCGAAGCTATTCATCACTTAGGGCAGTTGGCAAATTACCCGCTCTTATATTAACATATAGCCGAAGCTAGTGAACCGAGAATCTTGAAATATAATAATAATGAAGATCTTTAATTAAATTTCAGTTATATTCATACATGTGAACTAAACAAAAGTAAATGGGCGAGATTCAGTATGGCAATCGGCACCGGAAGGTACAGACTGACATCTGTTCTTTTGTACCTTCTGGTATGCAGGTAGGTTCTTTGTATAGCGAAAATAAGCGTCAAGAAAGGGAATCAGGAATTTCCACACCCAAGGGGGAAAATAGGGGTTCAAAGATTGTATTGAATTTCGTCAATTTTGATGTTGGAAACCTGAAGTTTTGGGTTGATTAAAAAATGTTGTCTGTTGCGAAACTTAATGCGACAAACCAAGTTCTACGCGGGCGAAGCCACGGGAAACAACTAGTATAGTATAAATTGTTATCATTGAAACTATGCGTTTTAATTACTGCTGTCAAAAGCTTTCTCAACATGTGATAGCTACTACAGAACAATTTCTTTCTATTTTATCGCCGCGTCGTCCAAAGTCTACTTGCTCAAAGTGTGTGTTACAAAGTCTACATGAATAACCTAAAAGCTCTGTATTTCAAAGATGACTAGCAAAACATCTAATGTTCTACATTTTTGGAAAGATAATTTCAAACTCTATTGAAATATGCAGGAATATATATTAAAAAAATTGTTTTAGTTTTACATCAATAACTATTGATATGTAATTTCAAAAATAAGTTTTTTACCCCATTGAATTCTACGTGAAAAAGTGATTTAAAAATATTTTCATAGAAACGTGGATATCCATTCTATGCTTTTGATATTGGAATATTGTTTCAAAAACAAAAATGAATCCTCACTTTCTTGTTCAAAGGTTGCTTCATTTTATCACGCGAACGAAACAAGGGAAGTGTCGATATGCATCTACTTACTGAATAAATTCATAGAATGTGCCAAGTTTAGCACATCAGCTAATATTGGATATCTGATAACAGGTGTGATACATCAACTAGAACATTTTCGTTAGTTGATTCATACAGCCTTGAGGGCTATAAACACAACTGATCACTTGAATTTATATCGATGTGCTGAAGATTGCGAACAAGTGTATCCGATTTTAAATGTCAAAAATAACAGTTTCACATACCTACCAATTCTACATCTTACACAACAGCTATATGTGGGGAAATCCGATTTCGTTATGTAAAAAATCTGGTAGGCGCCTTTCAAACTCAACCAACGAAACTCTCGACAAGAAATATGAATAAGTAGTCTTCAAAAACACAAGGTATTTCGCAGTGAGGCGATTTGCACCACATTTGTGAATTTCCTGTGAATTGATTGAGTATCGGTGATACAATCAATTGCATTTCAGTGGAATCAAGAGAGCATTGACTCAATCGAGTGTGACGTGAACGATAAGATTAAATTGTGTAAACCCAGGGAAAAAAGTAGGTACCTGTAGTAGTGAGTTGTCAATGTTTAGACACTGCCAGCAGTTGAGGTAGTCGGCAGCTATAATTACCTCAAATAAGTACCGGCGCCATGCACATTGAGAAAATAAACAGAATGCGAAGTTCACAAATGATCGTAATCTGCATAATTATTTACTGTCTACGTTTTTGTGAAGGACAACGAAGTGAATTGAATTCGACGGAAATGTTTGAGGTGAGTTTTTTTTTGAATATTTCGTATCGGCGAAACTGAAACGAAGTGTTTATTTATAGTGCGCTATCGTTATTTCCATTATCAGAGGGGATAGACCATAATATATGTGAAACCCTGTGTGAATCATGACCACCTCGCAAGATGTACCATCGAAATGAATTGATTTCGGTTTTGTATTGATTTTATCGCGAATAGTGGGGTTATATTCATTACCATGAATTGGGTAATTTTGAAATGAAGATTTAAAATTGAATTTTAAACCATACTAAAACCTCACATGTGTGGTCTACATTGAAAGGGTTATATTTTTGGGAAAGATTAATTCTGGCGAAAGAAATGTTTTGGCTTTTTACTTATCCATCTCTGTATAGTCGAAGTAAACGATATTGTACACTCCTAAAATTCGCGGCACTCTCAAAGGCCAAAAAAACCAATACATAGAATTGAATCGGCAGCGAACTAGTCCACATGGACTGTAGTCTTGGCGGTTCGTATTTTTACCAACCGAGTTTATGATTGGCTGAAGAGTCATAAAATTAAATTTTATGTTCGGTGACGAATATAAATCTGGGAATGCGGGGATGGTTATCGCCGTCGTGTTCAGTTCAGGAACTTATTGTGATTTGAGTGTTGAAATTCGATATTGGTGCAGTTATAATAATTTGAAATTTTTGTTATCTGTTTAAAATGTGGCTTACTTGGACAAGTGCTGATTGTAATAACGAGTGTGATAACAACGCAGACTTTTTCCAGTGTAGTGATTGCAATAGCGATAGTGAACAAGAGATATCAGCATCAGGCGTAAAAATAGTTTTCCAAAATCAGATAAGAAGGTAATAGAGCTAATTGAAGAAGAAGTATTTAATATTACCGAAGAAGACTGGCAGGAAAGGATTCAAAAAGTAATTTTAGTTGAAAAAGACTATGTGGAGATTGGACAGTTCCATATTATTGGTGGAAATACATTCATTATTGATTTAAATGACGACAGTAATCTTTCAATATTGAATGTTGTGATAACAAATCATGTGGAATATCTCTATTAGGATAGATATCATAAGATTTGAAGTAAATAAACTTTAGGAAACGACGTTGACCTTTCTTCAATTAATTTATTGTAGCAATTGTAGAATGGAGACCATAGAACAGAGCCATATTCTAATTTTGACCTTAGGTAGAGTAAATAGAGCAGATATGTTTGAAAAAGATCTACAATAGCGAACTATGAAGCCATAAACTCTCAATGTTTCACTTACTTTCGATCTAATGTGGTTGGAAAAAGACAAATTTTGATCAAAATATACACCAAAATCTTTAATTGAGTTGATTCGTGACAGTGAAATGGTATCTACTCGATATTATAGGACACTACATTACATTTGGATGCATCACACCAAGTCTGTATATTTTCTTACTGTCGTTGCAATGTATTACAGTTTTCGATAGTTTCGACAGGTAAATATATTTTTCAATCATTTGCAAAAAATAACTTATCACAATCGACATAATTACTGAGATCAATTATGAATAATAAGAATAGAAGTGGTCCGAGATTCGACCCCTGAGATACTCCAGATGAAGTATTGAATTAAAAAGAATCATAGCCGTTATAAGATAAGATAATGTAGAATTCGACTGCTTAGAATCCAAACTAGCCGAAGAAGTGAGTAAATTATCTGAAGTGAAATACGATAACCTTAAACAAGTCTATAACCTAGTAAACAAACACAAGGCTACCCAGAAGAAACTAGAAGCTCACTACTCGGAATACAAATATCATACGAAATTTGTCAACCTATCCAAAACGAAATTCAATCAGGAAGAAATAAGAATTATGAAGAAACGACCCAAGTTCACCCCTCCAAATAACAGTACTCATAGGAGTACAACCCGAACTGATCATCCAATATGATGAGTGACTCCACTCGTCACAGACACAAATTAGCACCTAGTTCCAGCAAAGAAAATGGTAGAGAACATAAAGAAGAGGAGAAACAAAGACAAACTGGTATTCACAAAGGCAGACAAAGGTATCGGTATCGTATGCGTAAAAAAAATTAAGTACCATTCAAAAATGCACAACACTGTGGACAGATTAGATGTTACCCTTCTGAAGAGAGACCACAAAAAATGATTCACTTATGAAGCCGAGAGGACCTATGAATCCTGGGTTACTAGAAAAACAAGGTGTATTAATCCCTAATCTCAAGAGATGTATGATTTGATTAGGCTTCATGACGAAGGCAATCCCATCAGACCAGTGGTATCCTACATCGACGCTCCAACGGGTTAGTTGTCAAAATTCTTGAATTTAAAAGTCAGAGAGCTAACAAATTTTCCACCATCAAACACTGTTATAAATTCTATAGATCTAGCCAATAAGCTGACTATTATGAACTACGATAATAGCATTAAATTAGTATTTCCAAATACTCCAACAAACGAATACCGTCCTCTGCTGACAGACATACCTACTAGTTAGACAGAATATCAATCCTTATATCACTAAGGAACTACACAATGTCTTTGATATATATCTCGATCAAAATTATTTCAAGTACAACTTTCACCTTCTAAATTCAGGCCTCCCAACGGGGTCACCGTTTTGTCCCTTACCAGTAGATATTTTTATGAACAACTTAGAAAACACGCGTATCCTTAATAATGCCTTATCACAGAAACACATTCCATTCTAGTTTAGATATGTGGGTGATATCCTCGTGGGTTTTGACAGCTCGTCAAGACAGATAAATCAGTTCCTCAATTTCTTCAACACTCTCCACGATAAGATAAAATTCACGGTCGAAATTGAACAAAACAATAGCATTGAATTTCTTGATCTTGCTTTTATGAAAATTAATATTAAATTTAATTTCAACATAAAGGAAAACATTTTTACGGACTGAACAATTCCCATTGATTCTCTCAGTCCATCATCATATGCATTTATGATTCCTTCATCAGAGAAGGCTTTTCAAGAAGAAATGAAGATCATAAAGCAGATCGCAGTATATTCCTAAAAACGGAGAGAAAAATCTCCCAAATGACTATCAGTGATATCAAAAATCATAGAGAAAGCCGTAAATCACCATATCCTTGAATATTTGGAAGGCTTTGAGATCTTGAGCGATCATCAATATGGCTTTTGGAAACGATGATCAACAGACGAATTTCTATTGTATGTCACCCATATTTTGATTAACGCTATCGAGTAACATGTAGAGTCAAGAGCTGTTGCGCCTGATATTTCCAAGGGGTTTGACCGTATGGCATAAGGGTTTGCTGGCCAAACTTGATGCTATGGCTTGTTTAATCATTTTTGTGTATGGCTCTCCAGCTTCCTGAAAGAACGTTTCCTACAAGTGGCCGTCGATGGATATTTCTCCAATACTTTTACCATCATCCACGCTGATGTTTCCCAGGGATCCATACTTTCTCCAACGACTCATTGAAGAAAGCAAAAATCCAATATATTCCTTTGTTGACGACAGCACACTTGTCTCGTCATTCAATTTGGATTCCAGGGCGTCAGCTGCAGATGCACATTTTCACCGGCAGTAGGAGGTTGCATATCTTAATGAGGATCTAAAAGTGATTTCGAATTGTGGTAAAAGTAACCATATTCAATTCAATGCCACAAAAACCCAGGCATCGGTTTCCTCCAAAAACATAAATGTCTTCGAACCAGACATAATTTCAGGACTGACAATTCCGCTTTTTGCTTTGATAAATTTGTTGGGGGTTAGAATGGACACCAATATGTTTTAGCACAATCATGTCGCTGGAATTGCAAAGGCTGCTTCTCAAAAGCTTGGAACACTGTTTCAAACCAGAAAACTGTACACACCTCAGCAAATTTTGATGCTTTAAAAAGATCAGACCTTCTCTGGAGTATTGTTCTCATGTGTGGAGCTCCGCCCCTAAGCATACCCTGAAGCTGCTGATTTCCATCCAGAAAAAAAGCCATCCGCCAGAATTCAGACGCGAACATCACTTGCAACCTTCATAGTCTGCAACATCGAAGAAAGGTTGAAGATTTGTCTCTATTCTACAGATACTTTCACGGAAAATGTTTAAGTGACGTGGCAGATACGCGACGAGCTGTGGCTGCTCATCGTTTTGAGGTTCAACTCAATACACCTCGAACTTTACTGATTAACAACCCTTTCATTTGGAGAACTGCGTGCATGTGAAATAAACTTCGTGAGAACCTTTTTCCAAATGAATTAATTTTCAGTGATTCAAATCCAATGTGAATCGCTACTTTTGCACAGGCACCGTTCCTAGAGCGACTTAGGGATTTTCCTGTAGTGCTTGTGTTTTGTCCTTGAACAAATAACCATTATGCAGTCCACTCAATTGAGAAAATCATCTTTAATGAAAACCAAAAATTGATCAGTTACGAATCATACCAAAATCATGAAGAATCTAAAGAAGCTAAGAAATATGCTAACATAAACCATTCCGCAAAGCTCTTCGAAAACAAGATAACCATCTTTCAAAATTTAACATAATTACGTCATTTATTAGTGAGAACAATTTGTGAAACCTGTTATTCTACGCAAAACCCAAAAGGGATAAGTGAAAAATATCGGGCACCAGCTTATATAGGTCAGGCAGGCAGACATTTCAACGTAAGGTACCGAGAGCGTGTGTTATTAGTCAAAAAAATCAGCTTTTTATGGACATATACAAGAAACAAACCGCACAATAAATATAGGAAAGATGAAAATTATCATTTCGTGTATTGGAAATAAATAAATTGGATAAAAACACCAACATCAAAACCCTCCATGACCAATTGGAGCTACCCAGCTCTCCCGTTTTGGATTTGTGAATTTTAACAACTAAATAGTTCAGGATACAGCGGCATTTGAAGCAATCTACAAGTGGGTAGTGCTCTTGGATCAATAGTGATTTTCATATGTTATGGAAGTTAAATAATTATTGTTTTGGTATCTTACGGTAATGAAGTTGAAGTTGAGTTTAATACACCTCAGTTGATACCGTTCAAGAATCCCTTCATTGAGAAAAGGTCGCCCTTTTAAGCTCTGTTACGCCAGCAACGCAAAGTACGGAAATCGCATTTCGAAAACGCCAAAATTAGGTACTTTTTAGTTGCTTTTTAGCTACCGAAGTCAAAAATTAGGTTCTCTATAACTTACACCGCAACTCAATACTCAAAGTTGCGTTGCTAGCAGTATGTGATGCTAGGAACACAATGAAAATAATGATAAAATAATGAATGTTAAGGGAACACTATTAGGTGCTCATTAAGTGTTGAACGGTGAGCATCGTAAAATTTTCTAAATAATAAACAAAAGCTTCCAATTTCGCTAAACAACAGATCTAAGAATCAGGTCACTCGAAAACTAGGATGAATGCTCTATCAGGTATGAACTAAGCGTGGTAATAATGTGCTAATTAGGTGCTTGCAAGAAATTAAGATGAAAACGACCGTGAAAAAAATCGTGATACCTGATTTGAGAAAAAAATTTAACAATATGCAATAAAGTCTTGAGATACTCTTAAACTAATAGACAATCAAAATAAAGTGCTAATTAAGTGCTCACTACATAAATAATAGTAAACCTAGATTCCATAATGCCTATGGGTCATTAAGGAAAACCACTATGACTGATGGACTGAGTTCTTACAGTACGTTCCTCGATAAGTAAGGGTATGACAATGAAGTGCTAATTAGGTGCTCATTAGATATTTACAGTTAATCTAGATTCCATAATTCATATTGGGCTTATGGACCCGATAACCACCATTATGCGAGCTAAGAACTAACGAGGTCTTACCTTTCAACGTGTGATTCGTAACACGGGTTGGACGATAGCAAGTGAAAATTGAGCGTTCAGCCTGGGGCTTGAACCATCGACTCACACATCGGCCGATTGACTGAGTGACCAAAGCATCCATGTCAAACCGCCCGGCTATACCGACCGATCGGTCGTTCGGTCTGAAGATCTGTAGTTTAGCGAAATTGGAAGCTTTTGTTTATTAATTAGAAAATTTTACGATCCTCACCGTTTAGCACTNATCAGTCATCACCGAAGACGATTGTAGATACTAACAATCGAAACGTCGTGAACTAACGTGACTTGGAATCTCTCTCTCCACTTTTTATTTTCTTTTTTCATTTCTTTATTTTCATTTATTCAATTGTTCTATTTTTACTTGTATTTTATTTCACTATTATTTCATTTCAGGTTCATTTTGCTGAATATAATTGTTATTTTAAGCTATTCATTTTTAATTCTTCTTTTTCAGTTGTTTCAGGGATTTCAAATCATTTTTATAGTAGTCAATGGAAGTCCGAACTAGTGAAATTCATCGTGAAACATTGTCAATCACCTTCAAACAAGCAACTTTGAGTATTGAGTTGCGATGTAAGTTACAGAGCACCTAATTTTTGACCTTGGTTACCTAAAAAGCACCTAAAAAGTACCAAATTCGGCATTTTCTAAATGCGATTTTCGTACTTTGCGGTGCTGGCGTAACAGAGCTGCCTTTTTGGAATATACTTCCTGAAACAATTTTCTAAAAGACTTCGACTTGCAATCTCATCTCAAATTTCATTTGAAGTTTTTGAACACACAAATGCTAGTGTTTGTAACAGCTGTTCAACTCTGTTTTTTTTCAGGACAGTGTTTTTCTTGAAGTTCCAAAATGCTGTGAGGATAATGGTACAATGATACGAGGAACATATTCCTGTACAAGCTTGAATTCCACTGTGAACTATGAGCACAATTATTTCGACAGTAATGAAACGCATATCGACGAAGATTCCGTGAAGTTCACACCAACATTCTATCAACAGCTCATTTTCTGCACAACAGGATTTGTGAGGTAACTCCACTTTCATTGGTTTGGAAAAAAAACAAATTTTAAGAAAGTGAAAAGGTGACCAATTATACAAGTTGAGTTGAAGCGGTACTCGACTAGATCATCAGTTATACAGTGCTTTTCTTTATTGTCCCCCCTTCTATTTTTTGAACGGGTCAACTCAAAAAATTGAAATTTGGGATAATTTAAAAAAAAAATCTGTTTTACCGTTAATCAGCTGTCGCCCCCATACGAACGACAACTCTCAAAAGTTGAGAACTTGTGCGAGCTAAGGACTAACGAGGTCTTACCTTTTAACGTATGATTCCTAACACGGTGCATAAATACTTTGTTCTGAAGTGAAATTGACAGATGAAACTTTCAAGATGGCGACTGGGCGCCATCTGGAAAAAAAAACTAAATGGAAAGGGGGGTCTCGTGACACATCTTTTTGAAGCACCTGACAAATGCTTTACAACCCTAGAATTAAATGTCAATATCTTCAACTTCTACAACTTTTAATAACTGCCTGCATACATTGACATTTAAATACATAATATGAGGTAATAAGTTCGAGGTCAATTCAGAAGACGCTCTAAATCGTTGCCTTGAACTTCTTGACATATGAACAGCCTATCCGATATTTCACGCCGAACATTTTCGAACACAGCAACGTCAATATTTCTACAAATATTTATTATTCTCTGCCGTATATCTAATATTGAAGTAGGTTCAGTTTCGTACACCTTTCGATTCAAATAACTTCATAAAAAAAGTCCAGAGGTGTCAAATCTGGCGAGCGGACCTGTAGGACCTCGACGGCCAATCCAACGACCGGGAAAAGTAGTAAACAAATAGTTTCTCACTTATCTGGAGTAATGTGGTGGTGCTCCATTTTGTTGGAATACAATATCCATATCGAATCCATTAGGATTCGCTTCGAAGATTTCAGTGATGAGAGGGTCAACAGTAGTTTCCAACATATTCAAATACAGTTCCCCTGTTAAAATTTTGATGAATGAATAGAGGTTCTACAATATGGTTTCCCAATATTCCAACCAAAAGTTAATTTTTTCTGGGTATTGGGTATGTGTTTCCCGGAAAACGTGAGGGATGGTGTCACTCCAATAACGGCAGTTTTGTCTGTGAACATTGCCGTTTTGAAAAAAAGTACATTCGTCACTAAATCAAATTTTATGGAGATAGGTAGGATGCCTTTCAATCGTTTTGTCATGATTACGCAGAATGCTGTTCTTCGATCGGGGTCATCTTCAGTTGATTGGTGTACCATTTTAATTTTGTATGGATGTTACCTATTCCTCTTCAAAAGTCTCCATACAGTAGAAGAGATACCTCACAAACATTCGCGACGGAATAAGTAGACTGTTCAGGATTTACTACCATCCCACCAATTATTTGCACTCGCTGTTCTTCTGGAATGGATGGATGACCTGGGTACTTTTTGTTATGTACACTACCGGTAGTTTTGAATTTGCATACAAGTTCCCTCTAATATTTTCTACAGATAGGACGATTCGGAAAACGTTCATTGAAAATCCTTTCGGTCTCGTGAAAGTTACGCCTCGCACCGTAAGTAAAAATTGCTTAAATTTTTTATTCTAAAGGACGAGATTTGACCATTTTAGAGATTGTTGACGCGGTACCTTTCATTGTCGTAATGATATTTTTTGTCGTTTTTATAAACAAAAAATAACTTAACAAACCTTGTTAGAATTGCTATATGGCAGATAAAAATGAATATTTCTAGAAATATCGATATTAATGTATCTGTCTTCAGAAAATTATTTAATGTTTCGCCATTTTGTAGTAGGTAAAGATATTAACTTCATATTCTAGGGTTGTGAAGTATTCGTCAGGTGCTTCAAAGTGATGTATCAGAAGACCCCCCTTTCCATTTAATTTTTTTCCCCAGATGGCGTTCAGTCGACATCTTGAAAGTTTCATCTGTCAATTCCACTTCGAAATAAAGTATTCATGCATTCATTTCATTATCACAAATTTCAATTTTTTGAGTTGATCCGTTCAAATAAAAGAGGGGAACATTACAGAAATGCACTGTATATTTGAGTTTATCTGCTTTTCAAAGGATTCGCTAATGTAACTATTGTGGTAACTTATCATTCATCACTCCACTTATCATTTAGTTCCAACCGAACTGTCCTAAAAAGGACAAGTTCGAAAGTAAAAGCGATGTCATTGGACGATTTCATCGCCTGTCATACTGGTGATTATTCGAATACAAGGTGATTTAAAATGAACCACTCTTCACAAATCAATTGTTCATTAGGTACTCGATTTTCATTTTTTTGTAATTTTTGGTAATTATTTTTTTTTCACTTCGATTATCAGTTTCACCAATCTACTGTTACTCTACTTTTTGTTTCAAATATACATATTCTCCATATACTGCTTTCATTCAAGTAAAAGCATCATTCAATCTCACTCAGAAAAACAAACATTGTCATTATGTTTATCTTACTCTTTGTGGATTATATCAATAAACGGCTGCTAAATGCTCAAATGTGAGATATTCGTCAACATATTAAACTTCCTTCTGGACTACACATTTTGACTAGCAGGGTGCCTCAAGGGTCTGTCTTGAAGCTTGACTATTTCTAATTTATGTAAATGATTTATTTCATAATCTGTTTTCCACTGCATTGATGACGTTTGCAGACAATGCCACAGATATATTTTTTGATACCTATTGGTATAGCCGATTTATATCAAAACATTAATGAATAAAAATGGCACCAAAAGTAAGTTCTACGTCAATATGCTGAAAATGAATCGAGAAAAACTCAGGAGATCCACATTCTCTACACGAATAAATCTCTCTAAAAACAAATTTGTTAAACTTTTTGGCATGTATCTGGATGACTCTTTGTCCAGGAACTAACAAGCAGTGACTCAAAAACTTTCTTTTCTTACATTTCTTCTCCTTCAACTCAAAAAAATTTCTAATTTGAATACACTTCTTACAGTTCAAACTCAACTAATGGCTACGGAATATTAAAAAATATTTGAGTACAATGGCTGATGTCAACCCATATGAAAACTAGCCGTGCACTATTCAAAAATGTCCACATTATGCCTCATTGTTTACGTATATTTTCTATAAATTACTAACTACCCTTCCGAAATGATACATTCTCGACAATGAACAACCCAACCGTCGACTTCAGAACTCGCTGCGAGTTCTTTTTCTTGGATGGTAATTTGGATTTTGGCCTTCTGCATCTGTCCGGCAAGATTTTTGTCTTGGTGCGGCAAGCCGGATTCGAGAGTAAAGAGGGGAACATTACACAAAGGACTACAATAATCAGAACAACGATCTTGATACAGTGGTCTACATAGAGTCTGCGAAATTCGAAAAGAAAAACTCGATATTTTATTATCCGTTTTTCCTTCTCTTTTCGGACGATATTGTTATCGCTAGGAGCTGAAAACTCCACGACAAATATCGTCTTGCTATGGTGGTCGAGAAGGACTAAATCAGGCTTATTAGCTTGCATAAGCCTGAGACCGCATATCCTGGACATGGTGACAGCAAGTGCATTAGGGTCTCGGACGCCTCGCGTCCGAGACCTTAATGCACTAATTATTATTATTATTTATTTTCTTCACTTTAGCGATATTGAGTTTGAGGTTCAGTTAAGGATGTGATGACCGAATGGAGTGAGGCAAATCTTTCACCACATCTCAACCGTTTTTGAATGTACTGTTTTTTATAAAGTCGACTCACTGCGAGTCTTATGCAACATTTTCAGCGCTTCGGCATTAGATATTCCATTTGCATTGCAAAATTCAAGACAAATGCTTTGTACCATATTTTATCTCCTGGAAAAATCACAAAACATTTTCAAGGTTGATTAGCAAATTGAGCAGTTACTGTAAACAAACTAAATGACGGATGTTTGAACGTGGTTGACAATGTTTCATGGTGAGAACAAATAAAATTAGAATGAATAGCTAAACTATCAATTATAATAAACAATAAAACCTTATGAATTTCATTAGTTCGGACTTCCATTATAATAATAATAATAGCTTTATTGTGTATAAATTACACACAAAAGGTAAGGGTTAGCCAATGGCTATCTTCCACCCCTCCTGCTCAGTAATACAAATAACAATAAGGTAATTACCTAATATAATTCAATTTTCTTCAGCGGCAAAATTAGAAGAAAGAATATGATAAATACATCTCAGTTTGCAGAAAAGTAAAGGAAAACACTACACTACAATACATTACTCCATGCTGGTCAACAAAGTTGATTTCAAATGATGTTTCACTTCATATAAAGATGAATTCAGGAGAGAAATTATCCTGTTCAAAAATAACGGTGCCAGATAGGAAATGCATCCTTCGTATTTAGATGTAACATGGCTTGGAATGTTGAAATTATTGAACCTGGTATTGATGCTACGGATATTAGAACGACGTACTACAAGCTCTAATAAATACAGGGGATTTTGTTTTTGATGAGTTTAAAAAGAAATATTGTGATTAGATATTCTATTCTACACTTTATGTTTAATTCTCTCAATCCTATCAGAAAAGGAGTAATGTGCTCTCTATAAGGTACACAGCAAACAAAACGCATACAAGAATTTTGAATGCGTTGCAACTTTTGTCGATTATATTCCGGTAGAAAATTATAATACACTGGAGCGCAGTATTCTATATGTGGATAGATGAGGGATTTGACTAGTTTAAGTTTCATTTCGGTCAATAGTTGATATTTAAATTTTTGAAGTAATTTCAGTTTGAAGAACGCTATTTTAAATATATTTTGGACATGGTCATTGAAGTTCAAGTTTTGTTGGTGACTGATTCATTGTGTTGCTGCTGAACATTATACATTATTATGTTTTTCTCTCGTCTCTGCCTATCATTTATTTCATTCAAAATGGCATCCATATTATAGGTTTCTCTATTTTCTTTAAGCTTCTTCAGATCTTCCTGAAGTGCCTTGACCACTGACTTGAGATCTCTAATTGCTGTAATTAGCTCCCGACAATTCTCACAATCCATTTCCTTGGGGGGTGTTAGGATTGGAGTTCGACAGTCCGCGCACCTATAGACGGGACCTTGTATATCGGTGAATGTGGAATATTGTTCTTTACTCATACCCAAACATTTGGCATGAACGAACTTCTTACAAAAAAGGCACTGTATGCCAGGCGATCGATCGTTGACTGTTTTGTTATAATTTTTGCAAGTGTCTGATATAAAATCATTCGAAATCCCAAGCATAAGAAACACACATTAGCGAGGAGAAACCAGCAAATCGGGAATTCCAGAGCATGTTTGGGCTCATCAACATAACATCAAGTGGTCCTAAGCTGAGATCATCCACAGAGAGGAACACTGGTTTAAGAAAAACTTCAAAGACGCTGCACATATGTTGTCTAACAATGCCTTTAGCCAAACTAGCGTAGAAATACGCAACATATGAAAACCCATAATCCCGCTTAACCGGTGGAACGAAAATAGAAGAGGGAATAGGAGATAGCGCTCGAATGGCCTTTAGATAGTCATCTCTCGGAGGAATAGTCCACTCATCAGTCGAAGACGATTGATGATAATAACAATCGAAACATCGTGAAGTAACTTGGTTTGAAATCTTTTGAATTTTACACTCATTTTTATTTTCATTCTATTCAAGTTTTAGTTCTTTTTTACTCTTCACATAGGGTTTTTAAAGGATCGATTCATTCCCAGCACTCCATTGACAAAATGTATAATCTTGCTCGAAAGGAAGCCTCTTTTGTTGAGGGGCTACCTTATACAACATCGACTACTAAGGCTATCACCCTGGTGTTCTGGATACCTATATTATGTTAATAATCTCCCCCGCCAAGTAGGGAGCATAAGGACTCATTTGATATTTCATTTTTCAGGGTTTTGATTTATCACAATGAAGTAGCGGGTTTCACTTACAACTCCTCTATCATTGTCGGAACTGGACTGATTCTGCCCGATAAATACTGCGTGGATTCATCTGATGGAAGGATTGCGTTCCTGACATGTTTAAGACTGGTACAACCCTTACAGGCGCAAGTGCCACTTGCTTATTTTCTGACATGTGAGTAAATGTGAACCCCATGTACTTTCTTCCCTCTTCATTCACTAGGAATCAAATCAGCAGTAAACTAACGTCTGTAATAGTTTTGGAATACTTTGAGCAAATTTAGAGATCGACAAATCTTGATATTATTGCTTGCCTATCCTTAGGCTGGATCTTCAAGGAAAGTTGAGTTTAACAATGCATTCGAGGTGCAGACTAGTACTACTCACTATGGTAGGTCAGAACAGAGGTGTCTAATGTTGGATCACGAATGCTATTTTATTGGGCTCTATTTACAGACTAATCAAACTAGCCTGAAAAATTATTAGGTACGTTGAAAATATAGTTGGAATTTATATGTGTATTTATAGATATTAAGGGTAAAATTCCAGTCTACTAGATGATTATGAAATGTATGTAATGAAACTGAGTGATATTTCATGAAAATCGATGATAACCCCTTGAAATAACACTATTTTCTGAGAATTTCACAAACCCTCAACACGTGTCTCATTTTACAGTAACTTTATCAGACTCATTCAATGTAGAAAATAAAGTATTTTTAGTTAGTATATAAGGTCTGTTCAGAAAATGAGATGATTTTTAATTTTATTCATTTATTATTCATCAATTTTGTTCCTATTTTGTTCCTTTCGAATGAGTCCTTCTCAGATGTAATACACTTGTGCCAGCGTCGCCAAACGATGCCCTTTCATGGGTGTTGTGAGATCAGGTAATCTAGTTGGCCATTCCAATGGACTCCTTCTGCCAAATCAACGCATTGGAAAAACGTTCGTACAAAAACCGTCTCACCGGAACATATCAATGTGGAGGTGCACCATCCTGCTGGAATATTATTTTATTTTGTAATACTAATTGAATAAATTCTACAAATTTAGAAGATCTGCGACAGATAATTTTTCGGGAATGCCGATTTCTGACTCCGGACATCTTCAATAATGAAAGTAGACTGTATTATTGTATGGAACTAGGTGGAGGTCATTTTGAACACTTTATCCGTTGATTATGTTGCCATTGATATTACTTTTGTTGATTCCTCAATACAATGAGCGACAGCGAATTTTCTGTTTTTTCTTAAATAAAACGTTCAACATTTAATTTCTCAATAACGAATAAACTAATTTCGAAAAAATCACAAAAGTATTAGAGGGACAAAAGACCTTTCAAATGATGTATCACTCGACCCCCCCCATGCCATTGAAAAAAATAGGGGGGATAGTTGCTGACCACAGGAGGGTGAAGTTTCGGGTGTGATTTTCATATCAGAATTAGTTCCCCTAGAAATAAAAATTGACATGTTTTTTGAAATTTTTGATTACAAGTCCGTTTCTGAGTTACAGGGGAAGGGGTCATGTTTTCCTTGGAACACCCTGTATAGAAAATAGGAAGACCGTTTATTTGTACTTTTTGAATTTTCCACAGGAGCAAATATTGATTATCTTTACATGTGTACTTCAGACTGACAAATATTTCAAGAAATAATATTTACTGAATCACACGTTCTTGCTTATATTGAGCTACAAAAGAAAACAAATGTTCATTTCTTGGCGATAAAGTTAAAGGATTGGTTCAACAATTCTGAAATATTTCACCAATCCTTAATCAAATTATGGATAACGGAATTCTTTCAAATGTTAAGCACTCACATTCTAAATATTTGTTCAAGAATTGATTTCAATTTACACTTCGCTCTAGACGACATACCTTATTATTTACTGTCTTGCAAAAATATATCCGGGCTGAATTCGTATTGATTACAGTTGTATTATACAGATTATAATCAGTTTTATTAAGTAGGTAATTTTCATGATGAATGAAAATAATCTTGTCTGTATCACATTAATGAATCACAATATTTCAGTCATATATTTTAGGATATTGTATTATAAAACACTTCCCACTCTTGTGGAAATGTCTTATTGGGTCAGAATTCCATATCATGACAAAACTATTTCAAATAAATATATGAATTCAAACTAAAGAGTTCTTTACACAATATTATTACCGTTTTTTTCCTGTGGCGGAAAACAACCATAAAAGTCAAATCATAAAACAATATCCAAACAACAAATATTAGCACATTGCATTATCAAAAAATTCCAACAAAATATAAACGGATAGGGGAGATTAATTTTTGGGAAAGAAAGGTTTTGGCTTTATATTTCTCCATCCGTATACAAATGTGCATCGATCGATTGTTTTAAAGAATCTGAAAATTTGACAATATACAGAGGTGGATGGGGCAACTCGGCTAAAACATTTTAAAAATGGCGGCACTTCCTGTTATACCGTAAATAGCTGTCAACTTCGTTATTTCAAATAGAACATCCCACATATTATTATATTTTTGAATTCTACATCAGAATCTAAATACCTTTTGTGTATAATGTCCTTCATCTAAGTCTAACCGTTTTTGACATATTTGAGTTTTTATGTCAAAAATGATGTTTGCAGACCTTACAATAATTATCAATTTTTTCTATTAGGAAACCTTTATCATTATATTTTGGTCAGGTTCCTTATAGATGGGAACCAAATTTAATGGACTTTATATGAAATTTCGATAATTATTAATACAAGGTAGTCAAAAAAGAAGCACATAAAAGAAATTCAATGAACCGTCTAAAGTTACTTTTTTTAAATGGAAACCTCCCCATTTGTATGATTTAATCGTATTCAGTCTGTTCTTCCGGAATGGACGGATGACCTGGGGGCTTTTTGTTATGTACACTACCGGTAGTTGTGAATTTGGATACAAGTTCCCTCAAATATTTTCTACAGATAGGACGATTCGGAAAACCTTCGTTGAAAATTTTTCCGGTCTCGTGAAAGTTACGCGTCGCAACGTAAATAAAAATCGCTACCATTTTCTCTTCCAATGAACGAGAATTGACCATTTTAGAGATTTTTGACGAGGTACCTTTCTACTAGTAAAACCGAAAACTAAATGAGAATATTCTTACTGAACAATGATGTTCATTGTCGTACTGATATTTTTTGTCGTTTTTATAAACAAAAAATGACTTAACAAACCTTATCGGGTTATTGGAATTGCCATATGGCAGATGAAAAGGAATATTTCTAGAAATATCGCCTTTAATATGTTTGTCTTCAGGTGAAGTAAGTGAAGATATTGACTCCATATTCTAGGGTTGTTAAATATTTGTCAGGAGCTTCAAAAAGATATGTCACAAGACCCCCCCTTTCCATTTAATTTTTTTCCCAGATGGTGCTCAGTCACTCAGTTACTGAGGATTTCGGCATATCTGTTGCATGCAATTTTTCCAGAAATTTTGGGCGTTTTTTCCAAAATATACCAGAAATTTTTATCAAATTTTACCAACAAAAAACTTCGCATGAGCGTCACTCAGGAATTATTGATTGACGGCGATTCAGATTTGCTTGAGATGATCATGACTGATGAAGAATCATGGGTACACGGTTAGGACATCGAAACCAACGTGCAATCGTCCCAATGGAAGAGCCCAACAGAGCCAAGATCAAAAAGGCACGCCAAGTTCGATCAAATGTCAAGGTATTGCTCCCTGTTTTCTTCGATTACCGATTATTTTAAAATTATGCGCCACTGGTGAGAAACACTCCGAAGAAAACGTCCTGCATTGTGGAAAAACTACTCATGGCTTTCGCATCACGATTATACACCTGCTCACTCGTCATAGCTTGTTTCTAATTTTCTGGTCAAAAACAACACTGTAATCATTCCTCAGCCACCGGATTCACCAGATTTGGCTCCATGCGACTTTTTTCTGTTCCCAAGATTGCAGATACCCATGAATGAACGACGTTTTGCTACGATTGATGGGATAAAAACCGAATTGCTGATTGGGATCAAGAACATACCAAAAAGTGCATACCAGAGCTGCTTCGAGGATTGGAAAAACGCTAGCACAAGTGTATCACATCTGAGAGGGACTACTTTGAAGAAGACAAAATAGGAATTAATGAATAAATAAATATTTTTAAAAAAAATGAAAATTTACCTTATTTTTTTAACAGACCTCGTAAGTTGTATTTTTCCTTCTACTATGAGAGTTAGCTCTCATCTTAATTACTGAGTGGCATTTTATTATGCATGAAATGGCACAATGTTTCTCTATCTGACCCTGATTAATCACCTCAACAATAATGGATTCTACATAATTGTATATACAGATGACATAGTTATCTTGCAGAGCGGCAAATTTATGAACACACTGTGCGATAGAGCGCAGGATGGACTCAAATTAATAGAAATATGGTGAAAGGAACACTCACTGTCGATCAATCCCAAGATGGTTCTTTTCACCAGGAAAAGAAGTGTATCGGGCTTAAAACCTCCAGAAATCTTCAAAAGCAAACTAAACATCTCTGAGAGATGTACTACCTTTGTACTATCCTCGACAGGAAGCTACCATGGAACTATCACCTACAGAGTAGAGCAATTTGGCTTCTGAGCAATGTTAGAGGACAGTGGGACGCACATGGGGTCTTTTACCCCGTCACCTGGATTTACACTGCAATAAGAAGACATATATGTTAAAGTACGGAGCCATTGCAAAAGGATCGAAAGTTGTACAAGCAAGGATCATCCAAAAATTATATCAAATACAGCGATTGGCTTGTTTAAACATCACGAGAGCCATGAGAACAACACCAACCGCTGCAATGGAATTAATTACTGATCTGACCCCTCTGGACCTGTACATTAAGGACCATGTTACGATTGAGCACGGCTGGTGTAAACCTCGAAGTAGGAATGGGTCAATTGAGGGTGGGCCTATGGCGAGAAGCGCTTACTGCGCAACCTCTGCTGCAGGCAACAAGTGATGCAATTGAACCCAGGTTTGTGTTTAATAAACCCTACAACATACAAATAAAACAGAACACAGAGTCAGATGCTACAAATGCAATACACATATATACAGACGGCTCAAATATCAAAGAGGCTCAGGATGTGGAGTTTACTCCAGATCAATAAGCCTAAGGATTGAGTGGGAAATGGGAAAAAATACTAACGTGGTTCAAACAGAATTTACTGGTATCTCAATGGCCACAAAAGAAATAACAAGGAAAGGAATTTCTGGCAAAAACATAACAATCTGCACTGATAGTGGACAAGCCCTATTAGCCTTGAACAGACAACGTGTTACCTCAGGGCTAGTACTCGGGTGCCACCAACATTTAGCCACAGCCTTGGTAGATAATAACATTATCCTAAGGTGGGTTGAAGGGCACAACAGGAGTGAAGGTAATCGCATTGCCGACTCTTTAGCCAAGGAAGCAGCTGGACTGAGAATTTTAGGACCATGATGACTTCGACACTTGGGGAACTAGCCAAACGTCACACCCATGCTCAATCCCTAAAGAGATGGGATGGAATCAAAGGATGCAGTCTTGCCAAGATCACCCTGGGTGACCCTGGGAATCTGGCGCCGAAAAAATATCTGGCGATGACCAGGAAAAACCTATGCTCAACAGTAGGATTTCTGACTAGCCACTGGCTAGTGGATACATATCTATGCAACATGTGTAAACAGGAAGATGAAACTGTCAGGCATGTCCTATACGAGTGTCCAGAGTTATCGTCAATAAAAGAGTGTGTGTTCGGCGAGTCTTGGCCTACACCTGCTGATCTAAAGGAGATGTCTCCTAGTACCTGTTCACCTTCGTTGAAAGGACAGGATGGACAATGACCTGGAAGAACAACTCGTCGGTAGGTTGTACAATGGGTTCACACGTGGCCTAGGTGCTGTGGGCTTACACTCACCCTCCCTACTTTACAGATACAGACCCTTATGGCCATATTTTATATTTACAAGACCCCTGTGATAGACATGCCCATTCTGGATACACTGCATATGAAATTTTTTTTCCGATTTTTATATTATAATTTTTTTTAATATTACAGTGCTCATTATTTCAACACTGTGCTGCTTTGGCACTGCTGTGATCTATCCGTACATGATGAAGCTGAAGGAAGTCCATAAGAAATGTTTTGTTGGATACTCCATCTCAACAGGTTTCGCTATATTATTCGAAATAATTCTTCAAACCGATTTCGCATCCAGTGGCTGTGATTTTGTAGGTGAGTTGATTTGGAAATACTATAAATGAGATATATCGACGGGCTAATTTTTAAATAATAATAATGATAGCGACTTCATTTTCCATTTTACATAATAAATAATTTTTTCCAACTTAAATGAGTAATTGTTGATATGCAAATATTGTTTAATTATACAGTTGAGCTGATCTTTCTCTGAACCTCATGAAGCGCCACATAACGGAAAATGAATGAATAAAAAAAACCTCAACATAGTTATCGAGGGGAGTTTTTCTCATGAATAAAATCATTTTCAGATTCTCTTTGAACTTATCTACCGTCATCTCTTTCAAACTGTTCGGAATTTCATTTTAAATTTTCGAGATGTGATAACTGTAAGATCTTTCATATTACTATTTTATCCAATAGGGTTTTTAGAAATCCTTCAAACCTCAAACTCAATGTATGTACATCAGTTCGGAAGGTAATTTCATTATAGAGATATTCTGACTTTCAGTTTTAATTATACTATAATATAAGCTTGCAGAGTGGAGGAACACCTGGTTATCCATTTTCAACCAGTTCATAACTTTCATACTTGCGAATACCGAAAATCAATTTCATATGCTCTGCAAATTAGTTCATTCACATGTATTTCAAACCAAAATCCTCATCCATAATGACTCCTAGGTTTTTAGCACAAAAAACCTCTTTGAGTTTATCTTCTCCAATTCTAATTTCCACCAGACTAACCAAATTTTTATTATTTTTGGACCAAATACTAGAATATTTGACTTACTAGCATTAATTTGTAGACCGTTGGTTGGAGATGGAACTATAAATGCATTGAAGTAAATATTGTTGCGTTCACATGCATCAACAATGTCATAAGGATCAAATGAATGTTAAATTCAAGTATCGTCTGCATAAAGGTGCAGTCTGCATAACGGTACATTTGACAATATTTCATATGTTTGATAATTTGATTTGCATAGAGCGAAAAGAGAACAGGCCCAATGATAGATCCTTGGGGTACACCTGATTTCAATAATAGGTTATCAGAGTAGTTAATTGAGTTATGGGAGCTACAAAGTCAATCAAATATACTGAAAAAAAGCAGAAACTGCTTTTTTTGGTTTTTGGTTTTTCCATTATTTTTCGAGAGATAAAAAATGATTGGAAATTTCAGTTCAGATAGCATATTCTTTTCGACTGGTTATGATAGGATTTGATGTATAGACGTATTCGCATTCTTAGATCTGAAAAAATATACAAAATAGTTTGATTTATTACAGATCGTCTATGACGTATCAAGAGACTAGAAAATATTGAGAGCATATGCATTACAGTGTTTATTCAATATCAAGGATTTGTTGAAGCTTAATTTTTCTTAAAAAATGTTTATGTTCATGTAGTTCCCCTCAGTTATAATACAACATTTTTTCCAATTCTCGAAGCAGTTCTGATGGTATGTCCTCGAGTTTTCGCAGCGATTCGGTTTTTATCTCATCAATCGTCGCAAAACGCCGTTCTTTCATGGGTCTCTTCAATCTTGGGAACAGGAAAATGTCGCATAGGGCCAGATCTGGTGAATACGGTGGCTGAGGCATGATCACCGTGTTACATGAATTGTTTTACACGATACCGGACGTGTAAAACAATTCATGTCGTATTTCTTCTCGAAATACTTTGGACTATCGTTTCAATGTCATACCCATGATTCGACACCAGTTATGACCCTTTTTAGCAAGTCTAGATCGCCGTTGGTGTCTTTCAACAATTCCTGAGCGATGCTTATGCGACTGATTTGTTGATCAAGGTTCAGCAATTTTGGAAAGAACTTCGCTGCCACACGCTTCATGCACAAAATTTTCGAAAAAATCACATAGTATGAGCCAACCGATATGCTGATATTCTCAGCAACTTCTCAAACAGTTATTCAAGGACTCTCCAAATGAATTTTCTTCACTTTGTCAATATTATTATCAGTTGTTAATGTGCTGAGGCGTCCAGGGCGAGCGTCGTCAATCACATAATCTCAACCTTCTCTGAGAAGCTTCTGCTACTTATGAACATTCTTCTGACTCAGATTACAATCGCCGTATGTCACTGTCTATATTTCAAATTTTTTTTGAGCACCGAATTCCAAAACCTTCATAAATTGTAGCCTATATGTTATGCTGACGTATAAGCTGTATTTATGTGAAGTTTCATCTAAATCCGTTCAGTCGTTTAGGCGTGAAAGTCACAAACATACATACATAATACAAACATCCATCCTCACAAATTTTCACATTCATATTAGTATAGAAGATAAATGGGGTCTCAAAATAATCACGTTTTTCTTTATCTAATTTTTTTTCAGGTTCGTTGTTCTTCTTCTGCACTATATCGTCATTCGTCTGGTTGGCATGTTTGTGTATCGATCTGATAGTTAGATTAAGGTAGGTTTATTGTTCAATATACTTTTTATGGGGCGAAGCTATTTAATAATGGGTTATTACATGACCCGATAAGATTTTATTATGAAATTTGATTAGATTATTGATCGATGTTTCAACGGAAATTTGACGAGAGCATGTCGTTTAAACATGACGGGATATCTGTAATCTTTACATGACTGCACAAAAAATTAAAAAAAACGATACATACGTATAAGAACAAAGAATTTCAAATCATTCATGTCATGCCTGGCGAAAGAAACTTATTTTTCTGGTATTACCACGCTGGACATTCAATTATATCCGACAAACATGTATGCAAGATACCTCAAAGAGGGTACAGACGAAGCTCTCTCGCTTACAGAGCCAGGCTTGTCTAGCCATCAGTGGTGCCATCAATACCACAGCGTCAGCGGCCATGGGATCCTTCTAGATCTACCTCCTTTCCACATTTTTCTGGAGAGAGAGGCTAGATGGACTGCATATAGACCTGTGCACATTGCCAATTGCACATTGCCACAGACTGTAGGTTGACACTGGAAGTCACAACATTATGAAAAGGACTTCTGGCTTCGGTGCAGGTCCACCTGCACCGGAACCAGACGGTGCAGGTTAACGAAGTTTAGTTATATCAATGTATTCCATAAGTTTTCGGTATATTAATACATATAGAGATCATGGAATACTAGATAAATGAAACCCCAGGCCCAATCTATGATTTTTGTGGGTAACTAGTTTATTCTACACCAACATTGTATGTCACTTTTGTAATATGTACTTGTGTATGTTTTCAGTGTAAATAAACATTATTATAAACGTTAAACGTTATAAACGTTAAACGTTATAAACGTTATTATTATTGACTGTACAACCTTGCGGAAAAAATTCCTGATGTACTACGTCACAGTAATCGAAAAAAACAGTGAACAAAACCTTGACATTTGAACCAATTTGGCGTGCTTTTCTGGTTTGGCTCTCCTGGGCTTCCACTCGGAAGATTGGGCTTTGGTTTCGATGTCATAACCAGATAACCATGATTCGTCACCAGTTAGGACCTTTTTGGATCGCTGTTGATGCCATTAAACAATTTCTGAGCAATGCCCATGCAACGGTTTTTATTTTGGTCAGAATTTAGCAATTTTGGAATGAACTTTTCTGCCACACGCTTCATGTACAACATTTCAATCACATTATGGTATACTGGGTTTTCGGGTGAGGGTTGAAAACTGCCTTCGGGTTGCTAAAGATGGTTCGCCATTGTAAGCTTTCGATTGGACTTGTATAGAATGCCCCAAGGGCCATTCTGATAGCATTATATGTGAACAGTATTCAGTTGTTTCATAACCGATTTCTTCGCCGAATTATATACTATTGATCCGTAGTCTAATTTTGATCTGATTAGGGATCTATAGATTGTCATCTACATATTCGTGTCTACACCCCACATTTTTGAAGCAATGGTTCTCATGAGGTTCAAACCATTCTGGCATGTTATTTTGAGGTGATAGATATATTGTTTCCAGTTCAACTTTGGATCGAATAACATATCCAAAAATTTGACCTGATTAACGAAGGCGATATCCTGCAAAATTCTAGGAATACTTCGACNAAACGCCTTGGTGTTCTCAAATGAAGTCAATCTAAATGAAAATTTATTTGAAATTCAGATTATTGTCGTTTGAAGAAAAACGTACTCTTTTCTTATTTCTTTGCAGTTGAAACTATATAAACTTTTCCAAAATAACTAACCAAGATAAACTAATTCTTAATAGCTTCCTCGATATACCTACCAAAGAATCTACGTTGTTAACAAATCGCGTCTTAAAATGAAAGTATTTTGTGAAAATTTTTTATCATGAATTGTGTTGAGAGACTGAGACTTTTGCTGGGCAGTTTTCGAAGCCATTGAATTCCACTTCATCTAAGCATTTTGATCAGATTCTGTCTCTTCATACATTTCAATATCTGTCGTTTTCTGAAAAAGGAGTTTGGAATACACATTTTGTGAAAAAAGTCAGCGTTGTACGTAATTAAATTAAACCGTTAACTCATCTTATCAATCCATCTTTCATTCAGGGCTGCTTCTCTCAAGAGTCATACTATAAAATAAAAAAGAAATTCCTAGAATGTAGACAAGGTAATATTAAAATATTTGGAAATGATGTTGCTCAATATGACGGCTTCTTATTGTGTGCTTGAGAATATATAGATATGAAAATATTGACAGTAATGAGAGTGTCCTCTGTTTCATTATTAGAAAAGCAATCGATTTGGTTTGTCTTCAATTTTAATTGGTTGAATCAACTGATTTAGGTTTGCCTGAGAATATAACTAATTGCATTGACTCATCGAAGACGAAGAGTGGTATGGTAGTATTTCAGGGCGATTCTTTTTCATCCATTAGAAATATGTAGCTTGGTGTGCCCCGAGGCTCAGTTCTTGGACCTTCTGTGTTTTTACAATACATTGATGATCTACTTTCACAATTAATTATCAGTCATATAACTATTGATCATAGTGACACAATTATATCGGACCATAATGCTGAACAACTCGTCACCCAATTAGAAAAGGTTGGTGATGGGTTCAAATCCAGGTGTCAAAAAAATGAGCTCATTATTAACATCTTCAAGTAATTTTTTGGCATTGGCACTGGATTTTAATTTAAATTTGGATAAGTTCATTTATCGTTTGTTTGAAGGTGGTTGACAATGTTACGTGGTGTATAAATTGATTTGAAAACCGTTGAGAACGATTGAAAAATTAATAAGAATAACCAAAATAACAATTTTATTGAACGAAAAACTGAAATTACGAAGAAATAACATACAAGCAACAACCAAACAAATAAAAATTGAAATAATAATAAAAGCTGAAAAA